ATAATAGGTCTTTTATATTATCTCTTAATTTTTAATAGAATTGACTCATAAAAACTTATTCATTTCAATTAATATCACAAGGCAATTGCCTAAAATCATATATATAAATTGATGCAAAGCATGATCTTTGACTTAATAAACTATTCTTTGTTGTCACCTATTGGGCCTTATCATATTCTTTAAATACCTCTACAAATACATCTAAAAAAGCTTCAAAGTTGCTTAAGATTGGAGATCTATTTTCAAATAAAAGAACAAATTAGAATAAAGCTTGTTTTGTAAGTAAACTTCCAACAAAAATAATTTGCAAATCCTCTATTGGATAGCACTTAAGTTTTAGAAAATTTATCAATCAAATTTGGTTAAGAAATCTTCAAAACTTGGAACATGTATTATCAAAAAAATTTGAAATATTAATCTGAAATTCTTTATGTTGTTGAATAGGTAAATTTTCTTCTTGAAGTACAGGTACTACTATCTCTTTGGATGTAGATGCTTGAAAAAGTAGTTGCATCATAGGCTGAATTATTTCAAGTCCTCCATTACTATAAAATCTTACAAAAAAATTCTCAATTTCAGCAACTCTACAAGACAAAGCATTCAGCATGTTCATAATAATATCTAACTTAGACTCAAAAGACTCAACTATACTAACATCTTTACCTTCAATCATCTTGAAAGAAAAAAAGTGAATTTTTAAACAACACTAGTTTAGAAGAAGGTACTTTGCAATCTCCAAAGTACTTAGATGTCTTCAAGAAGAAGGAAAATCTATTTTCTATCAAGAAGGATCAAACACTAATATTGATAAGAAGGAAATTTTGGCAATTGTTGCAAATACACTACACAAGAAATTAATTTAAAAGTTGAATAAAAGAATTTCAACAAGAAAGCTAGCAAGAACTTAATTAAGCCAAATGATTATAAAATCAATACCACAAAAGGTGCATTAAAACTCCAAGACATGTATTGTTAAGACTAATGATCTCTTTAACCTTGACTCTAATATATACTAGGTATTTGGAAGCTTTTGGAGATGTTTTCATATTGCTTAAAGATGAAGGAACCTTAGGAAGCTTCTTAAGAAGATTTTATGTTGCTTGAAGATGAAACAATTCTAAAAAGCTTCTCGGAAAACTTTCTTAATCTTCCTAGAACTTTTCTAAAATCTATTAGAATATTCTAAAAACTATCTAAATTTTTTAAAAATACTCCAAGAATCTTTTTAAAATCTTTTATAAAAATATTTTAAGAATTTTTTAGAATATTTTAGAACTTAATAGAATATTTTAAAGGTCTTCTTATTAGATATCCATAACACCCTCTATTTTTAATATCCAATCTTTTGATCAATTGAAACAAGTTAAGATCTATACAAAAATAGATCTATAAGAATCATATAATCTAATGTACATTAAAGAAGGTGATGAATAGAAGGCTGCATTTTGAATATAATATCATGCCTTTTAAATTCACAAATACATCAATTACTTTTCAACATCTTATTCATGATGTCTTTTGAAAGTATTTAGATGATTTTTTTTTTATTATTTAAACAAAATCTTAATCTATTCCTAGAATAAAAAAGAGTATAAACTTCATATTTATTGTGTGTTACACAAATTTAAAGATGTAGAATTATATATCAAAATAGAAATATGTGTATTTCATACTATTCAAATTGAATTTTTAGGATGTATTATTTCAAATTATGGCCTTATAATAAATACTAAAAAAGATCAAACTATCATAGATTGAAAGATTTTAAGAATAATAAAAGATGTTCAATTATTTTTTAGATTTGTTAATTATTGTTAGATTTTCATCAAGAATTTTTTAAAAAATATACCTCCATTTTTATATTTAACAAGTAAAGACAAACTTTAGTGGAATAAAAAAGTTTAAGGAGCATTTAAAGCTTTGAAGACAACTTTTATTTTTACACTACTATTATATTGCATCAACTTTTTCAAAGCATTTTTTATAGAAACAAATACATTTGACTTTGTTTTAGATGGTATTATTACAAATGAGAGTAGATGACAAACTTTAGCTAATAAATTTTCATCTAAAAAGTTTTTAATAGTCAAAATCAACTATAAGATCCATAACAAAGAGCTTCTTGTTATTATGAATTAATTTTAAGAATAGCATCATTATATAGAAGTTGTTTTTAGTCCAAATACTATTTATACAAATCAAAAGTACCTTAAGTACTTTATGTCAACATACATTTTGAATTATTAGCAAGCTAATTAGAGCATATCCTTGTCAAGATTTGTATTCAATATTACTTATTTGCCAAGAAAACAATAAGATATTTTAGATACAATCTTTAGATGTTCTTATCTTGTACCAAAAGTAAAAAATATAGCTTTTAATCATCAATAAAGTATTTTTTGAAGCTAGAGAAGTTTCACCTTTGAGCAATAAAATCAATATTAACTATTGATTCAATCTTCTACATCAAGTTCTACTAAGTGTATCTTCAAATGATCGTGTTTATGATATTAAGAACAAAGACATTTTTTTCAATTTAAGAGCTATTGTTTGCTAAATTACTTGACAAGACATTGTCATTGTCACAACCTTCAAGACAATGTAATAGAGATGATGATCCTCAAGAACATGTTTTTTTTTAAATAGATGATAACTTCAACTATTTTCAAAAGAAAAAAAGATTAGTATATGTTGCAAATACAATTTATTGTATCTTAAATTTCTTCAATATATAATTATTGTTCTTTGTGGAATTCATACCTACAAAGAGATTAATATCATGGATATACATATTATAAATATGAATAGATAGAAACAAGTAAATTTGATAATATCTTATAGAAAAGTTTCTTAGAAATAGATTTATCTTTATATATGTCTTTAGGTGATTGGTAAGTTAAAAACTTAGCCAACAAATTAGCCATGTATTATGCATGTTGGCCACTTGTGCTACAAGTTGGATATGTCGCATATACATATTAAGCTTATCTTGTAAATTAGATATGTCTCTTATAAGTTGGAAATATATTAGATGTGTTATAGAACTTAACCATGTAGCTCCAAGTTAAATAGTATATATAGGAGCAAGAGTGAGGCCTTCCTCACTCTTGTCAACTCTCTACTTTTTTCTAGTCTAATTTCAAGTTTCTTTAGTTTTCTGGTCTTTAACAATAGCTATTCTAATTTCTTCTTAATTATAAATAATTACTTATTTCATTTTTTCATATCTCTTTTTGAAATGTTTTACTTGATTATTTATATTCTTTAGGAACTTATCTTTGACAATCTTTTTCAAATGTCTAAATCTTAAGTGATCATATATTTTTGTTCTATATTATATTTTATAGCTTGGATCTTAATCTAATTCAAAGATTTGGTTCATAAGGGAAGAACGATTTTTTAACATGTTTTGGACTTATTAATTTAGATTTTAGGATTTGAAATTTAAGGCTTTTAGATTAACAATAGTTCTTACAAAAATTGGTCATTTTTTTTATTGACTTTATTATTATTATTTTTTAGAATACTTATAGTTCATTTAAAAAATCTCATGTATATTTATTAATTTTCTTTATAAACTACAAATCTAAAGATTAATGTATAATCTATTATAGATTTTTTTTAAAAGTATTTTTTTGAATGTAGTCTTCATTTCTTTGTAGTCTTGCTTATACCTTATATTAGTTTTTATAATTTTATACTTTATGTTTAAATTTTTTATTGTTTCTTAAATAAATGGATATTATGATTTTATCTTAAAGTAACATTAAATTAATCTCATGTAGAAGATCTACTTGAGTATGTTATTTGTATTAAAAAAAAAAAAAAAAAAAAAAAAAACTTATTAAATAGTATAAATTTTGTTTAATTTTGCCAATGTCTATATACTAAGATTAAATTATTCTTTGAGTTTTTATAAATTAAATTATTTTAAAACTGGTATATTCATTTTAAAATAAAATAATTGATATTCTATTTTTTATATTCTAATTGTAGCTTTATTATTTTAAATATTTTCTAAATCATATTTATATATATGCTTTCTGTAATTAATTGTATCTAATTGATTTGTAATTTTGCAATATTTGTGAATAGGAGTGTTTTTTTGGAACAATCAATAGTACTCTATTATCAATTAAGAGCCAATTATTTCTAGTCCTAAAACATAAATTGTGCAGAAATGTCTGTGACTTACAGGTTGTAAGTCGTCTACTGATTGTGTATTCAAAGCAAGACAAAGAATGCTCGTGGCTGAGTAGGTGGGTTAGAAGTTCACCTGGTTGCATAATAACCTACGCGAAGACTAGCCAGAGTTCAATCAACACAACACAATCACACTCTGAAGTACCGAGATGCAAAGAAGGCTCACCCTCTGAAAATCACCCTCAATCCAAAAAGTACCAAGTTTTAGGGGAATTGTGTTCGTCATAGAATCAGAAGCATCGATGTGGTCTTTCAGTGTTGTTACCTAAGCACAATCCATACCCCACAAATGCACTCAATCGCAACGACACGCAGATCAGGCTCAGTTGATTGATTCAAAGGTTTCAGAATCTTCACCTCAGATTCTACGTTGTTTGATGTAGAGGTTATGAGTTTGATCGCCTCTACTACGAAGAATTTCAATTGGGTTGCCAGCCAAGAGAATGTGGTCAGGATGTTGCGTCCATGGATTTCGTGATCACAGTTATTTGTTGCTATTCACTGGAGTTCAAGGATAATGAGGAGATGATTCGCAACGGAGGTTTCGAGTTGTTTCGCAACTGACACGATGAGATGTCCGGCATCGTTCGCTTGATGGCAATGTTGATTCGTACTTACAAATCATATTGAATAGCAGTGCGTTACGCTGTCGGCAGCTGGAGACGGTCCAACGGTGCATTCTGAACGGGCAAGACGCACTGTAGAAGTGTATCACAAAATGAGGCTTCGACAACTTACGTGTTGTCAGTTCTTAGTCAATGGATCAGAAGCTTCTCTCGGAGGTCGTACAGAGCACGTTCAGATGAAGAATAGAGCGAAGCCCTTGATATAGAACTTGATGGTTGTAATGAGATTCACGTAAACAGCTTCAAATTGCCTCTTCGGATCTTAGTACGAAATACAGATCTGGGCTCGTTTCACGAGGACATGTGTTACAAATACATCATACACGATTGACCTACAGCATCCACATTAGGCAGCAACTAAAGCTTCCTTAGCAATAGTTGACACAGCCATTGTTGCGGCTTTCAGGTCAAGACCACACAGCTTGCCAGTCTTTGACGCAACCATTGCACATGCGTCCTTCGCGTAATCTGGAATGAACAAGTTTGCCTTCTCTTGGGATGCAAAGAGTGCAACTCTGCAGCCCCACCATAGCCCTAATTAGCCCCTGATCATGTCCTATTCATACCCGTAATCATTCTACCTTCTGAACATCATGAAACATCAGAATGGTTCCGAAGGCCACTTACGTAGATTTCTTCAACGCAATAGCGATCTGTAATGCAGCGGTATTTGTGGTCACAACGCCTTTGGAGGCGTTTATCAAGGCTCCCAGCTGCAAAGACCACCCAATTCTCTCGGTAATCGACAAATCTCATTCTAAAGTCTAGACGACAAACCCCAAGAAAGGTTCGATTTCTTTCACACATCTTCATATATAATTGAACAGAAACACGCACACACATGCACACACACAAAAAAGAAGAAAAAAGGTAAAAAAAGAAAAGACGTGAACTTCTGATGGTGGTCAAGCGCATCCCAATAAAGCTTAAGAATGTGGAAAAATTGAAAACTAAACCACGTGCTACCGAGCATACCTGGCCTGGAGTGGTAATGAAGACTATATGCGCATTTTCCCCACAAATCTCCTTCACTTTGCGCCTCCATTTCTCATTCGGAATAACGAACACCACTTTATCACTGCTACAATCAGGTGCAGATCGTCACTCTCAGGTGTTTATTATAAACAGCAAGACATCATCGAAAACAGTAACTACAAAAAATAGTGTCACATTCATTCCCGCAGATATTTACTAATACTGCCAAGTCAAGCCAGACATGAAAGCAAATTCGGGAGAAGAGGTAACTGACCTGGTAGATTTAGCAATCTCTGCCCACATGGATAGGGGAAGGAGGCAGTCCTTGTCCCCCTTTGATGTCATGGATGCACTTGAATCGCATTCAATTCCGTGGAATACCAGGAACTCACCCTCTCTCACACCCGCCTCTCTATACTTGGCTTCAACGTATGCTTTCACCTTACTCCCGATCCCAACTTCCAATGGAGGCACCTCAGTTTTAGGTACATTCTTTCCCATTTGGCTGAGCTCCTCGATCATTTCTGCATACCTACGGAAGCTCACCAATAGTAATCTGATGAGTCCATGGACGGAGGGGCCCTAAGTAGAAGACATCAAGACATTGTCTTAATTTTATTACAGGTACTGAAATGCAAGATGCTGACCTATCCATTGGTTTTTTATTTTATTTTCCCCCAAAACTAGGTGCCCATGACTGCTGCAGACAGAAAGCTCATGGGGTGCAGACAAAATGCCCTGGTGCTATTCACGGCTTCTTTACATCAGCAAGCGGCTTGTAGGGCACGAATTTTACATGTTGAACCCACTTTCTGCCAACTCCAACTGTGGTGCCTTGATAGCAATGTCGAGAAACTTGGCGGCCCCAGCGGCATTTACATCGGGGTATGTATAGCTAACTTTATTGCGTACCGAAGCCAGCCAGAAGAAGATAGACTGACCCAAGCCAGCCAGCTTTGTGGATACCAGCAGGTCATAGTATTCACCCTGATAAACCCGACCAGACAGAGGTAACACTCTCAGAATCAAAAACATCAACCTCATAAAATCACTGGTTAGTAAGTCCAAGTTCCGTCGAGCGCATGAGGCAGCGAGAAATCACTGAGCGACCAATCTCTAATAGACAATTCTCACTCACCTTGATTTTGCCCACGGTCTCAGTGAAGTCCACGGGCCTCAGAAATTGGTCGTCCACGGGATGTACCCACGCCTTCCGAACATTCTTGTTCATTTCATAGGCCTGCAGGAAACAATAACAGCAAGGAGGAACACACATCGATTTCAAAATTAGTGACGCGTAATCGTTGAAACTGAGAGAGTATCACAAATTCGTGCAGATCTGAGAAGAGTGTAGACCATCTACTGCATACAGTGATCCCGTGGAAGATTTTGCACTATTGTAATCAGTGTCCGTTGATTACAGTCACGGAACCGAGAACTTGGATGGTTCTTGTTAGGTTTTTGCAGCAATTCTTACAGCCATGATAGAAAAGAGAGGAGAGTTCAGCTGACCTGCTTGCCTCTGGGAGTCGCCATGACGTCAATCCTCACTCCCGGGTAGCGATTCTTCAGCAGCTGGATGACGGGAAAGAAGAGCAAATTCTCATAAACGCCTCCAGATATCATACACAAGCAGCGTCGAACATCGTTCCGAATCAATATGCCCAGGCTAGCCACTTCTGGCATAAACCCAGCAGGGAAATCCAGGTACCCGGACTCGCTGTCGGGATCCCTAGCAGGCCTGGGATCCTCGGCTCCCTGAGGGCCCTGCGACATTAATTCCCCCATGGTGTCCTCCTCGTCGTCGGCGCCATAGTCGAAAGGGTCGTCGAACCACCCCTTCTTCGCACTCACGACGACGGAGCTCGCATTTTCTAGTCTCACATTCGTCCTGGTCCCGAACGCGCGTAGCTGCAATTTAGAAGGATTCGAGTGCGACAAAGAGGAGGTCGCGCGGGTCACGCAAATGCTGCATTGAGGACAGTTTGCGAGTCCTGCTCCCAGCACCACTTGGGCCGCCATGGCCGACATACCCAACTCGCGAGACACGCAACACACACCACTTCTTCACTTCATCAATCTTTTACCAAAAACGGACTGAATTCTCGCAAACCCAACTGTTTCCCGAGAGATCACGTCGTCTAGAAACTCATCCTTCTTCCTGGAAGCTCGAATTTCCTTTCGTTACAGTACCAGCCTTATCCCTTCCCCCCGCTGTCATAGGGAGGGTTCAAGGCTGTTCTCACCCGGTTATCAACCGCTCGTCTCGTCTTTTTCTTGACTCTTTGTCCGATTACGGAGCATTGCATAGTTCATGGTGGAATTCCGACATGTTCTTTTGACGGAGGAAGATTGTGCTGTCTTTGCGTGAAGAGGTGCCTTGATTTGATCAACTCAATCTTATGTTGTTTTTGGTAAAATTGGCGGCAAATGGGGCGTGTAGGTTGTGTTTTGCTAGGGGTGAAACTGTTGCTGTAGTGTGCTTTCACTCATGTTTCTCTATGAAGCTGATACTTATGTAATTTCGAGGTGGGTTCGGCGTCGTTTGCGGGTCTGAATACCTCTGAGCTATCGTGTGCGCTTGCTTTTTCGTTCCAATCTGCCGTGAACTTGTTGCTTTGGTTTTAGAGGTCTTACCACTGAGACCGCCAATCAGTATCCGCGGATCGATACTCTAATAAAATTAGGTGCGAATTTGGCATGATGTATGTGACTTCGAGGCAAGGGCTGTGGGGTGGGCTGCAGTCTGGGGTCATTGTGCGCGTGCTGTCTTTCTTGATATTAGCCCAATTGTGCAGATTCCGATTGGTATGGACTAGATGGAACAGGCTACTCTGCGAGTGAATCTTCGACTATCTTTACGAACACAACAAAAAACACGTCTACCCGTTCGTCTTGCGCTAACTTGAGCATGACGACTACACCATGGTTGACCCTAATTTCAAAGGTTCTTCGAGCTTTCTCCATTCAGGTGCGAGGTGGTCGTGATTAATCAACCCTGAGGATTCTCATGCTGCCTGGAATGACAAAAAAACTGACTCCACTGTAGATTGTGGACTTCTTTGATGCAATTGCTAGAACCAGTGGGGAACTGTCAGAGCCTGCCACCGTTTTCCGTCTTTATGACATGTTTGACAACCATGATGAGTTCCGTAGGTGCTGTTGCTCGCAAATACAAGGTATGTATTCCCAACTACAGCGAGAAATAAGAAATGGGATTATATGTATGCTAATTTTTTCACAAATGAGTGGCACACCATGAAAAGCAGGTATCATTCAGAAGACACAACCAGGGCCATTCTTTGTTGGCCCCGTTTCAAAGGTACACATCCCTCGGTTTAAACTTGTGTAATACATTCTAGTGCAAGTGACCTGAGCCCCGTCTTGCATTGTGTCCAAGCATACTCGACCTCTTATTCTATGCTTTGTGCATCCGTTTGTTGCCTTTGCTTCTGGAGAACTTTTGGTGTGTGGTTTTGATGAATTTAAACAGGAATGCAGGTTGTGCAGTTGTTAATCAGACTTGTTTGTGCTCACTTTTTGTGAAGGCAAGGATTTGTTTCTAAGTTTACACTCAATTTAGCAGTTTGTCTAGACTAGTCACTAATCATTCAAAATGTGGAGGTTGAGAAAGTGGCATTGGAATTGGCTGGGTAAGACAACGTGGAAGTTGAAGTTTTCAACGTGGTGTTCTGCCAAACTTACACATGGGAAAAGTTCCAGAGGGACATGGTTTATACAGAAACATTTTACTCATGATAAAAATTAGATTATGAAAGTTTGGAATCTTTCGTTTCTGCAATCACTGTAATCTACTTCTCACAATGAATTCTGGTAAACTACCTAGAAGCGGAGGCCGATTGCCTTCATTCTTGGCATTGTTCCCTTCTTTGGGTAGATTCTCAATCACCCAATTCAGGTATTTCACATGGCAGTACAACGGTCTTGAATATATCGAAAATTTGTAGACGTGCACAATTGTAAAGTTTATTGTCTTTTTGTGAAGATTGTGCTTGCAAGGATGGTAATGTCAATGATAATGCGATGTTGCAAAATCCAAAGAGCATTACTAAAATTAATAAAATACTTAATTGTTGTTACATCTAATTCTTTTACTCTTTTTGTTAGAAAATCAAGCTTAATACTATTCCAATTTGAGTTAATGAAACTGAAATGTTTTTAAATCTCAACATTTCAAAGAAATTGTTGGTTTGAAGCAATGGATAGTTGTTTTTAATTTCACATTCTTAAAATTTTAATTTTCAATGTCTACGTGGAATGTGAGATATTTGTGTAAAGAAAATTATAAATTTCTCTCTAAATTTTTTTAATAACTTGTTTGATCTCATGTATTTCAATTAACATGTTGTTTTATTCATCATTAGTATTTAGTGCATTGGTAAGGTATTCTTAAAGAAAGTTTGATATTCAAGAATATTTCGTCTTAAGAATGTAAATATACCATTATAAATGATTTTTTCTAAAAAAATATATGTTTATGTTATAATGCTTGATAATTATATGGCTTATTTTTAAAGAATTACATGCATCATTCAACTTTATTTGCTATATTTTAATAAAACCAATATACATTTAACTTTCACTAGAAATATATTTGATTTGTCTATACACAAATCTTAATTTTTTATACTAATAGTTTTTAATAATCATATTTAATTTTTATTTTTTAGTTAATATCTAAAATAATATTATTTCTATTTTTATATTTTGTAAAATAAATTATGCTTAAATGTATCATATATATATTATTTATCACTCAAAGTAATTTTATAAATACTTTATAATAACTATCTATAATATTAGATCATAAAATGTGTATTTATATAAAAAGATACAAATAAATAACAAATAAAATAGGGAATTAATATAAATAATAAATAAAAATGAAGCTAAGAAGAAAGTGACATTCTTTTTCTTCTTTTAAGGTATTTATTATCCTTGAAATCATTTCAAACAATCAGATAGTGATATTATAAAATGTAATTAAGTGATAGAATAAGTTTATATATATATATATATATATATATATATATATTCTTTTATTTAGTTATAAAATATTGATCTTATGTATAATATTAAATTAAATTAAATATAATTTTCTATAAGTTACAATTCTATAATAATTAGATTGTAATAACAAAAATATACATATATTTTTTTGATTAAACACTAATTTTACATATACATACCATTTATACATTGACATATATATATATATATATATATATATATATATATGGAATTTATAAAGCACAAATGTTTCTAAGAACACAAATGTTTCTAAGAACATTGATGGTAGCTTTACAAAAAATCATAATATTTTTGGTTGAAGATTTTTAATACTCCTTGACTAATATCTTTTAATGACTCTCTACTTAAAATAATTATCCATCAAAATAGATAGTTAAAATAATAATCTGATAGGTTTTCTAAAAGACTAGAGAAAATAAAGAATATAATGTTTGTTACAATTATGTCACAATATATGTATTTTTTATTTTCTTTTTATTATCTTTCTGGTAATTGCATTTTTATTGACACCACCATTTTTTGTCTACCCCTAGCATATATAGCAAAGAAAGCTTAGTATTGCATGAAATGAATATGCATAGTACTTCATTTCATATTAAATCATAGCAATATTGAATCCAAAAAAACGTAATGTATAAAATCACTGACACTAAGTACATGAGAAACATAAGCGATCATAGTTTGACAACAGTTATTTCAAACAGATTTAAATCAGAGTTTGTAACCACATAGAGTTTTCACCTAATACCCGGACCCGTCGTCGTCCAACCACAGCAATGCATGTCCTCGAACAAATTAGACACCCGGTTCTAGTGGTAAGAGGAGGGTATCAGCCAAAAAACTATTACAAGAATCAAAGTATACCTGATCACCACGGTAGTCACCGCCTTGCTATGCTTTTCACAGCTCAATTTGGAGCAGTGCAGTGATCAAAGTGGTTTTCCGCCGTGCCTCGCTAGTGCATTTGAGTGAAGAACGTTGCTAGTAAGGTTGCGAGGACGCTGTAGTCCAACTCTGAGAAAATTGTGAGGAATTGCTTTACTAGGAGCTACAGACGTAGCTGAGCCTTTTGGCTGATTCCAGCCGCAGGGCTAACAATTTAACTCATTGATGAGGTTGAAGCAGGGATCGAGTGAGCGTAAACACGTTGCTCCGAAGACTCGGTTGTAGAACTTTGATTTAGGAAGAAGTCTGCGCAAGTTATCAATTTCGAGGACGGAAAGTACCCCGTTCGTGACAATTAGGGTTTGTGCTCTTTGGATGGTACAAAGGTAGTAGCGAGGTTTTGTTGGTGTGATTTTCTTCTGGAGATTATATGGCGTTTAGTTTTTTCTCCTCGATGATTTTTCCTCTGCGGCTTGGGTTCTCTTCGCAAATGGTGATTGGATGCTCTCATGGTGGGCGCGAGGAGAGTGCTGGGAGGTGGTGTGTGTATGGGAGCAAGGAGTTGCTGTGCTTGTAGCATTGGTGTTGGAAGCGCCCCTGATGGCGTGTAAGTTCAAATACTCTATCTTGAACTCTCTTTTTGTCTCCAATTATTAGCACTGCTGATATTATTTTCTGATTGAAGAGAAAGCTGGAGAATGAGCTATAATAATTAGCGTCTGAAAATTTATGTAACACTGTACGTCAAGCACTGTTTGAGAGCCTCGGATCGTTGATATCCCTTTACTTTTGTGATCTATAAGTGAATGGTTCTTTAGCCATTATTTTTTCCTAATTCCGTTATCTTTGATCCATCTCCATTACTTATTCAGTTGTTCCTGCTTCTTGGCCTACGATTGAAGGTCATATAAGTTTTCTTTATTGCATTTTTAACGTTGAAATCGCCTGCATGACAATTGTATCCAAGTATTGAGTATTAACTTATCTGTAGTTCATCACTGAAAGTTTGAACGACCATGCTCTTGAAAAGTGCATGCGGTTCTACTTTCAGAATTATCAATTTTTTGCCGTTGAATTCGCTAGCTCAGAGTTATGTGAAGGTAACCTTAACGTTATCAAATTTCTTTTTTAAAAACCAGGTTCCAGTTGAGAAGAAACAGAAGGATATCAAATCAAAATCTTTGGGGAAAGTAGAAAGAGCAGTATCAAGCAGGAGCAACATTCATAAATATTTGCGAACAGTGCAAGAGCTCATCAAGAAATCAATATGGTTCAGTCGACGTGTGAAACTGGAGGCTCGGGGCAGGAAGCACATCACGAATATATGGATGATCGTGAGTCCACAAATTCAACCACCCGTTCGTACGAAACAAAAGTCACTGACTTGGACTTGGATAGCTTGGTGCTATGTGCATCGAATCTGTCACTCCATGACCTGACGAACATGGCAATGACATGTCAAAGATTTCGAGATGCAGCATACTCCGATACTGTGTGGGAGATTCAGTGCAGGTTGTTCCTCACTTTACTCGGTCGGTTAAACTTCACTACCAGTTTTGGTTATGTTCGACTATGTTGCCAACGGTTTTTGCAGTTTAGCATTGCCCTGGCGTACTTGTACTCTAATTTAGATTGGCTTCAACGTATCTATTCTTGTTAGTCTTGTTAATCTTTTTATAGGAGTAGCATATTCATGTGAATTTTATGGCTGTTTGACTCAAACCACATTAACGTATGTGCGAATTATTCCATATGCACACCTGCACAGGAAGCGGTGGCCGTCCAAGCAGTTGTATTCCGGACACACATTCCAGTATTGTGGCGGCAGGGATGCCTATGTGGCAAGACATACCGCCACTCAGCAACTACGTTACACAGATCCTATGGACGTGTACGTGCAATTGTTACCAATGGCTGTTAACCATCTGCTGCTTGACGAGGATGTTGTCACAGTTGCACAGGTAAATTCGGGTACGAGTGTTCTGGATTCTCTGAATCGGAGTAGGCTATTAGACTGTGTCATGAATATCATTGCGTCAAACAGAGTGACTGCGACTGCTACGTATTAGATGATGACAGTTTATGACATGTAAGGGTTACCACTTAAGGCTTAGACTTATCTTGGTTCTGATTGTTTCCAACCTGAACAGGGTCCGATCATGACAGTATGGAAGGTAAAGCCTTTTGAAAAGGGACACTTGGACGCTCCAAATGTGTCATATACACTCAGAGATCATAATGCACGGGTTACATGCATGAGGTATAATTCCACTATATTTCAATGATCGCCGAATAAGCAAAGAGATGTTGAATACATTTACCTCTAATTATTATCCAGACCTCGCTTTAAGCTTTTAACTGGCTCTGTTAGTGAAGATGTATTAGTCTCATTTTTGGCTCCATTTTCTCATTTATATGTTCGTAAATTACAGGTAATATTCTTGCCTCTTTTACAACATTTTAGTGCTGTTGATTAAGTGAGTAACTGGTGCCTAGAATGTCAGTCTATTTTTATTTTCTTAGCTGGTAATGGCATCGTTAATGTTCTACTATAATGATTATGCAGGTTGATACCTGCTGGACTTGTGGCATTGCGTAACATTTTTGGTGTTAGAAACATCCTCGTCACATCGAGCTGCGATCATACAATCCGTCTTTGGGGAAAGGTAATGTTCGGGGAAAATACTTTTTTGTCCTTACGTTTGTTCCTTTGTGGCTATGGATGTGTTTCATATGGAAGTTCAAATGTAATTATTTGATCAGTTTTCCCGCTCTGGAGAAAAAAAGACATTATGAAGGTTTATACATTTTCACGTCTCTTTTTATTCAGGGCCGCTCACTTCGGACTCTGCGAGGTCATCAAGGGCCAGTGAGCACGCTTGCAGATCAATTGGTTGGGAAACAAGGTTCTCCTCCAGTCTTAGCCAGTGGCGGCACAGATGGCACGGTTCGCCTATGGAGTCTTTCCTATTCCAATAATAGCAGGGGTCGTTCTCCCCTCTTAGCCACTCTACACGGTCTTGAACCGACAATCAAAGAGCTTGCAGTTGCTGGGTATGATGTTTCAGCCATCATCGTTGAAAGCCTAGTGTCCCCTTTTTCATTATATATCTTTTACGTTTGATTCACGACCGGTTTAAGAGGTGTGTGCTATTTGGTTTGGTGTAAGGTTTTTGTTTGTACTTTTCTTTTTAGTAAGCGTGTGAAACCAGTGCCTTGAATACTAACTGGTTAGGGGTCTTCTCCCCCAATTTCTTGTTGGTTGAAGCCTGAAACTAACGTTGCACATCATTCACTATGCAGGCATAATCCAGCACTTCTCATCAGTGCAGCTAAAGATGCCAAGGTTGCTTTCTGTTTATCCTCTTTGACTCATTCACGGGCTTCTCTAGGCTCATAGCTGCAGCAGTTCTGAAGATTCTAAGTTGTGATTTTTTGTGTTTTTGTACACTTTCAATAATCGTTATCCGTTAAGCGAGATTTAATTGCTGCCTAAACGTGGGTTCTGTTTACAGCTTCGAGTGTGGGATGTGATGGTAACACCTTCATCAGCTGGAGTAGGAGCGTGCGTGGGTACAACAAAGGGGACGTTTGAGGGCATACCTGTGGGCCTAAAAAGCGTAGACTCTATTTGCTATGTTGGTGGAGGCACTACTATTAAAGCTGTTGACCTACGAACCATGTGCACAGTAGCAACTGTGGCATCTCATGCATCTGGTGTTCTCACATTTTCGGTGTCTCCATCGGGAACTGGCATATGTACTGGAGGATCCGACAAGTTCGTTTGTCATAACCTATTGATACTTTTCATAGTCGGTTTTGCACTGTTAGTCATGTGACGTGACATACTGGTGGCATTCGCATTGTCAGATTTGTTCTTGTTTTCAGATTTTCAGATTTCAACACTGTTTCAGATTATTTTGTTTGGTAGTTTGTGCTGAAAGTGTCCTTAAATTCATCTTTATGCATCTGATCATGTGTTTCTTTATTAAACGCCTTCACCAGAATTGCAAAGCTGTGGGATCTTCGAATGGTTGGCGAGTCCCCAACTCCATGGGCAGTTCTTGGTAACCACATGGGATCGGTGCATAGACTTCACTACGATTCATACAAGGTCATAACAGGCGGCACTGCCGATCGCCATGTGCGTGTTTGGAACGCCGAGACGGGCGAGGAAATATCCGCCATTGATTCAACAATCTCTTCCTCTACTGGCACTGGAGTAAGTGCGTTCGCAGCAAATGGCGGGAAGCTTGTAACTGGAACTTGTGGGGAGGACCCTGGCTTTGTGCGTTTCCAGGATTTCTCGAATTGTGTGAATCCTTTGGTTGACTCTAGAACTGATGTCTCTCTGGAGCATCACAACTGCTCAAAGTTTTGGGAAAACACTCCAGATGACGACTGTGACTCTGACTCTGACTTTCTCTCTGCATAGCATTGCAAATAAGTGTAGTGTTTCCATAGTTTATAGTATTATTCCATGCATATAGTACGTATTTTGAACTGTCCTGTCTGAGTTGGCTATCGCTGTCTTTTGTCACGAAGGGTAATAAAGTTGGAGTTCCAGACTTAATCTACTTCCACCAGGGTGCCAAGATCACGCGTCGACAGCTCTCAAGCGTTGGAGATCAAAGAGTATCTTGAGGCTCCTGTCGTTTTTAAAGATTAAGATGTGTTCTCCTGAAGCGGCTGTCGCCACGTCATGTTTTCTGCTCATCAGGTTAGATATTGACCGTTGTTATACGTGGAGTAGTTTTAACCAGTCTCAACCAAGACTCCACAAATAACACGATTGAAGCTCATGTATAGTATCTATAAGGTTCCCATCTCAAAAGAACAGATAACAAAGGCGCTTTTCTCATCCTTGATATGCAGTCCCGTACAACCAATTTTATTCATTTCATGCAAGGACCAGCTTGTGGTCACACAACCATTACGATTGTGTGAACTTTATTGTCTCTGCACATGCTAATCAATAGACCAACTAGTCATGTACTAATGAATTGGTCTACTGTTACCATTGTGGGGAGTGAGATGCTAGATCGATGACTCCAAGGCCTGAAAACACTTGCAATTTGACTTTGTTGCACGCATTAACTATTTGGTACCTTAGTTCGTTGATCCACTGATTCTGGTTTTAAGCTGTTTATGATCCTTGAGATGCTTCGATAATCGAGAATCATGAAAGGCTAAACAAGAACATCATTGGAGAGTTGGGGGACGTGTACTAAAATAGGATCCACCAATAAACATATATGTATGTAGAAAAATAAATAAATAAAAGAATGTAAAATCTACCCACCTAAAATTTAAATGACCTGCCACACAACTTTGTGGTTTGAAATTGCCTCAAGGCGCATCATGCTTAGCCTTGGTTTCTTTGCAATGGAGGGTTTGTCAATCTTAGTGACCTATTCATTAATTCAAGCAAAAAACCTCAAACATCCTTCCATTGGTGGAGTACTAACACTTACTGTTTAGAACAATTAAGAGGAATCTTGGGTGTTTGAGGGGTCATTGGGGTGGGTTGACTTAAGATTTAGGTTGATTTAATACTCATATATATATATATATATATATACATAATGGCATGCCAAATAAATTAGTTTGCAACAATAAACTTTAAGAACATATGAATCTAATAAAAAATAAGATAGCTAGTATACTAGTATACATAAGATTCCTATGAATAACCAATTTAAGAGTTGTTTAAGATATATGCAAGATATCCATAAATGTTAAAATTTAGTCTTACAAATACAAATACTTCAATCAATTATTACATCATTACAAGGCATACAAATTAGGTTCAATGAAGCATTATCTCTTTATGATTTTTTGTATATATAAAAAATAAAAAATTATTTTACATTCTATATGTATATCATAGTCAATATATTATTAATGTTTTAAATTTTTTTAGTAGTTCATATATATATATATATATATATATTTTTTGTTTTTTTTTTATGATGTTATAATTTATAATACAACTATCATACAATATATAAGATGTTCATTATAATGTATTAATTTTTAAGTAACACATATTTTAAGATGTTTTTTATGACAAATATTTCTTCAATATTTTGGTATCTTTAACTAGAATTTATGAGTGTGTATATATATATACATACATACATACATATATATATATATATATATATATATATATTGAAACATGATATTATATATTTTCACTCTAAAAAATTATATATAATTATTAACTAAAAAATAAATTAAATAAAAAACTATTTTTTACCACTCAATTTCATACCACATCAAACTTTGTTTTTTATTTTTTATTTTTTAATTGACTGAAATAAAATTATATGTTAATCATAAAAATATTAAAATTGAAATTTCATTTAGATTCATATTTTGCTTTCTATTTCCTCAAATCTTATAGTATTCATTTTATTCTCCTTGTCTTTATTCTTGTCTTCTATTCTAATTTCTCGTAGTCTCATGGAGATCCATTGCAACTAGTCTTTTTGAAAGCTTGTTAGCTCCAATGTCATCATATTACCAACCGTTTTTTTTTTAGCATTCCAAAGATATCGACTAGACACACCAAAGGCTCCAACTTGAAGTAGGGTCTTGTTGAAGTGATTGACAAGTCTATTTCCACTGTGTCTAAATTTAATATTAGAGGCTATACTTCTTGCTACATCTAAGCCAATAACAACCACACAAATTAACAAAAACACATTTTAAAACATGATTAGGATCTTGTTTCTTTTGACAACACTTACTGTATTGCAAAGATCTTTTTAGGTAATCAATTAGATATGTGAGAAAATAGAAAGCAAAATATGTATCTAAATGAAATTTGATTTGAGGAAATAGAAATCAAAATATGTATTATTATTAATCATAATATGTATTATTGGCTTTGATTGTTTTATATCCTTATGATACTTCTTTCAAGATTTATAGAGCAATCTAATTTCCACCTTTTTTTCTAGGATGCATAAGTATTATAGTTTGTATTTTAGTAAAAAAAAATTAAGATGTAGATATGAATCCATCTGAACTATGTATGTAATTTTATATTTATGTACTAATTTTAGAACTATTATTTTTTGGATTGGAGATCTTATGGATTTTTGAAATTAAAGGCGAGAAGAGGAGATGAAGAGAGAGAGAGAGAGAGAGAGAGAGAGAGAAGTGTATTCATGATTGGCAATTGAAGTGGATTATGATCAATGTTATAACAAACTATGTAGCCAGGTTTCACTGTCGTCATTGAAGCTATAGAATAGTAGGAATTTATCTCTTTTGTGTGTTTAGAGAGATTTTATGGAGCCATAGTTGTTGGTTGAGTTAGAAAAGAAGTCCAAGCATTCAACAATAGGTGTCACAAATATACTATAGAATGGACCAAACAAGACGTTGAACAAAAGAATTTTAAGAAAAAAGCTAATAAGAACTTGATTAAATCATTTGAGTACAAGATCAACACCAAGAAAGGTAAGTTAATGCTCCAAGAGATGTGTTGTCTAGACTAATATCCCCTCAGTCTTGACTCCTATGTATATTAGGTATTAGGAAGCTTCTCAAGAAGTTTTTATGTTGTTTGAAGATGAAGTTATCTTAGAAAGTTTCCGGAGAAGTTCTCATATTAGCTAAAGATGAAGCAATCTTAAGAAGCTTCTTGGACAACTTTTTTAATCTTTTTAGACCTTTTTAAAACTTATTAGAATATTCTAAGAGTCTTTTAAGAATCTTTTATAATTTGATAGAATCTAATAGAATATTTTTAGAATATTCTTATTAAATATCTATATCAATAGATTCTAATAAATTTTTCAAAAATTTACAAGTTTGAAAAATAAAAAGAGATTTGTGGAAGATTTTGAAGATTGAGGAATGCCAATGACATTCTTCTCAAAGCAGCGCCATTTTATGTTGGCATGTAGCAACAACCTTCTTATCAAAAATAGAAGAGGGATTCAATAGTTGTATCCATAAGTAGATCATATTAAATTAGTTCTTTGTCTTCATCATCTTCTTGTATGGCAGAGTTGCACTTTTACTTTTGATGGAGCTAGAGTCAAATGTAGGAGCCAAGTTGAGAAGAAGAAAAAAAGAATACTAATGGTTTCATTGTGTCTTTACAATTCTCCTATTGCTTGCCATTATTACTATCAACATAGAACCTTCTTAAACAACAAACTAGAACAAATCTATTTTAACAAAGTAGGAATATAGTAGATAGAAGGGAGAAGGGAGAGAGAAGGGGTGATGACAACAATTATGTCGGATAAAGAATAGAAATAGAAAGGATGGATTAGAAGAATAGAAGATGAGCACTTGAAATGGAAAAATTTGAGAGGAGAGGGGGTTGGGATAGTAGAGGGGGGATACAAACATGAGCAAGGATTGGAAATAGGAAAATGGAGAGAAGGAGGTGTAATGATGGTTTTATTAGGTGGATCAATTTAGTAAAAGTTGGAATTAATTTAATATTCTCCTATATTTATTCAAATAATAATCAAACATTATTTAGATACTTAAGAGTTTTTCAAGTACAACATAATATATATATATATATATATATATATATATTAAATCATTATCATTTACATAGAAGACAATGATGTTTGATTATGTTTGAATATCCATTTAATGAGCAATACATGTATTCAAGCACCTATGTATTCATCAATTTGGCAACTATTCAATTATGAAGATGATTATTATTTAACTAACATATGTTGCAATCACTCTTGATATTCTCACCCTATACACTCCTTAATTCAAATCCTTATATTTTATAAAACCTGTAGCACTTATTCTTACAACAATAAAACAAAAGTAGCAATTGAAGACAATTCTAACTTTCTGGTAGAAAACATGGATTCATTAATGGACAGTAATGGCCTTTGAAGTGATGTATCCAAGGATCACAAACCTAAGATGTGACAATAGATGACTATCAAGGAAGCTCATTTCATGTATCAAATGGTCAACTACAAAGTAGTTACAGTATTAGTGGTATAATCACCATTAATGTGTATATACCATCCTCTTCATTAACCTTCAAACTCTCAACCATTGTGCTGCAAACCCTGTGATAATGTTTACTCTCACTCTCTTTCATGTATCTGTGCTTCAAAAGCTCCTGCTTTCTCTCTATTCTTGGCCAAGAACACAGATACATTTTTATTTTTACATTCTTGAATAAACTAAAATGGTACATGTTTCTAACATCTATTACACAAATATTAAAAAAATATAATTATTGTAAAGATATTTTTTTAAAGAATAATAGAGAAAAGTTCAAATGTACAAGAAAGAATTGATGAAACACTAGCTGTTAAATAAAAGTTTCTGAATAATTATCGTGGACACAATTTTGTGTTATGTTGCCCACGTACTGTAATATATCTGAAATGATATTGTGATGTGTGAATGAAGAGATATTATTTTATATTGAAATTAATACCATTGGAAAACTTAAATGATAATCCTTAATGATTTATTGGAAATTGTTTGTGTTTATTAAACACATTTTTTATATTAAATAAAATAGTGCATGAGTTGTGTATTTTTTCATCCATAAACCATCAATACAACCAGTTAAAACTGACCTACTCAAACAAGTCAACTTCATATGAATTACAATAGAAAGTTCAAGACGTTGGCTGCATGAATTTAATGTATGTTTCATACATTCATTATGCACAAATTTTATTGCATGATTCCAGCATTTGATTTTATTTCTAAATTTTAAAAAATGTACCCTCAAACAAAATATTGAAAACATATGCACCCACACAATAACTCTACCGCTGTACAGAAAGTTGACATCAACATCTACATTTCTTGCAAAACAACATTAAAATTTCCAGTCTCTATCACGTTGTAAACCAACATCCATGTCCACCATCAGTATAAATAAACAATAATTCACAAATCAAAGATATGGTAGTTACACGAATTCAACAGTCAACTATTTGGAACAAAATCACAATAAATACGTCAATAAAACACAAACACAGTAAAAAAGATTAAAAATTAAAAAAATCTACAACCTTCTCACAGAAAAATATTACAAAATTTTAAAACTTGTTTACTGTAAACGAAAAAATAGCACAGCAAAAATGACTCAAGCCAGAAGGGAGCGAGCTGCAAAACCGAAAGGGACGTGCAGTAAACTGGTCGGAGCATCAAATAGAGCCCACCGGAAGACTCCGACCTTAGGCCTGGCGGTAGAAACAAGTGGCGGAGGATGTCCGACGAATGAACGAAGAGACACCCAAGTTGGGACCACTGACGAATGAAACATCCACAAATTGACGAATGAACACTATTCATCCTATATTCGACGAATGATAACGGAGCACATCCACTGTCGGCGAATGAGTGACGAGACATCCAAAAGTAGATGAACGATAATAGTCAGATTCGGTAATAGATGAATGAAGAGAGGCGCATCCTCTCCTCGTCCCAACACGAGGCTGGTCTCGCTTGGCTGGCTGGCTGGCTGTCTGGCTGCCCTTGCTCCGTCGCTTTGCTTACACTGTGGACAGGGCTGCGGCAGCGGCAGTGGCAGCAGCGTTGCCCTGACCAAGTCTGACTCCCTTCCCTGCCATCCGCGCCGAGCCGAGCCGAGCCCAGTCGAGTCGATCCCTCCCTCCTTCCCTGTTTCATCATAGGCGCCAGCTGCATCATTTGCGCAGCAGTCCTCTTGCTCTCCCTTCAGTGCTGCTGGTGGCCGCTTCTAGCGCTTCTGGCACTGATCAGTGCTGTTCCTTGGAGCTCGTTTCGGCTCCTTGGCAGGTGGGTTTAAGTAAGTCCTTGGCCCAGTCGCTGGCATCGAGTTTTCGTCTGTGCGGTGTTGTACGTGAGATGAGAGTCGCATTGCTAGCTAAGTTCAGTCATAATGTGGAGTTGGGGTGGGTTAGAATTTGGTAATGTCAGTTTTGTGAACGCTGCCTGGAGATCGATGTTTTGGGTCTAGTTGGGTGGTAGATCCGTGAGGTGGGTGGCGACTAGTGCAGGTTGCATCGAATGTGGGGTGTGTCTTGTCATGCTGGTGGCAATGAGGGGACTCCGGGGTTGCATTATGTTTTTGTAGTGTTGGTGCTCGATTGGTGTCGGTGGGTTTTAGTATTGCTATTGGTTTGCGGGTGTGGGTTGGAGTTTGTGTTGGGTGTTGGATAGAGACCTCATACTCTGTTTTTGAGCTCTCGGGGAGGATTTTGTAATGCCTTTGAGGTCTGGATGTTCTTGACAGTCATGTGGTGTTAGACTCTGGTGAGAAGATCAGGTGTAACCTGGAACATAATACAGTGTAGATTCTATTACGTTTAGTATGAGAATCGAAACATTGATCTCTGGGAGGGGTTAAGAGAGTATGGGAAGAGCAAGTGTTGCGAGATCTGGGTCTGAACCACGAGTGCCAGATGCTAGTACTATATCTTCTTGGTTGAGCGAAGCCGTACGACTGTGTTTACGATTGCCTATGCGGGTGCCCCCATAATGAACCTTTGCAAGTCGAAAAGCACCTGTAGTTCGAAATGACTGTAGGATCTGAGACGGTCTGGTGACTCAGTAGCAGTGGTTTCTGTACTTTGTGGATCTTGCTCCATCGTTAAAACCTCATTTTATCGGATAACCTCAAATGAGCAGGATGTCACGACTGGCACCAGTACTACCCTCGCTATCACGTAGCATTGATTCTTGTGAGATTTTTTTGTGATTTTAGTCATTTTGAATGTCAATGTATCGGCTCAACGATTGCTTCTCCTTTGCTATCTGTGTCATCGCACATTTGTCTCGTGTAGTCGGTGTTACTACCTTCCCCTGAACTATCCTCTACCTTTTTGCAGGTTTTTTGTCAGTGACAGATTCATCATGATGGCTGCGAGGTGCAGCATGTTGGGGCTGAGTATTGCGCCGTCAGGACTCGAAGCACCGGTAACTCCAACAAGCCGTCCACAAATCTTGCATCGGTTGCTTACCCGTTTACTCAGATTCAAGAAGTAAATTCTTCTTTGGATGCGCTGCTTTACAATGATTGCTGCGATCGATGATGTCTGATGATGACCGTCTGTTTGAGATCGCAGAGATGGCCAGGTTGCAGTCCCACGCAAAGCACGAGTGCAACATTTTCCCTCTCAAGTGGGCTCAGAGGGCTAGCTCTTCCACCTCTCAGAGTAAGGGACAACCCATCGAATCATTCTTAAACCGTTACTTGGATGACTACTCGATGAAATGGCTCAGCTATATTACCAGGAGTCGCCGATCTTTCAAGGAATCAGATGTAGTCAGTTGACCTGAACATATTCAATTTTAAAGTAATTTATACTGGATTTTATTTGATACTGATTTTTTATCCGTTCACATTGGATTCGATTGTCCATCAGAGTCAGATAGTGCAGAAACCACGCGTCCTCCGAACATGCGCAACGGCCGCTCCTATGTCGACACAGTTCACGAAAATTCCTGGGTTTACTCAGATTGGAGAGCCGGTGGGTTGTAATTCTACCCTCCTTTCTTTACGTTACGCTATTAGTTTTGCATCGTCGTTGGCAGCTGTTTCGATTCATCCTAACAATTCATCGTGGCGCATTTGACCTACAGATCATTGACCCACTTACTTTAAGTGAAGTAGTGAAGAGCTTGCCAAAAGAGGTATATGGTTTGAGCTGCTTTCCACGACTTTGAACATAAGCATTGCACCAACCAAGCTTGAGTCGTTGCCCTACCAGCAGCACCCATTTAGACGAACGCAGAAAATCCTAGATGACCTTTGTCCCTACTGCTTCTATTGCAATTGATAATGACGTGCTCCGACTTGCTTTCCCTTGCAGGTATTTGAAATTGACGATGTCAAGGCGTGGAAGAATGTCGCAGTTACCCTTATAGCTGTGGCTCTTGGTTACGCTGCTCTTGCAGTTTTACCATGGTATCTGTATCCTGCAGTCTACGCATACCTGGGAACAGCGATGACAGGTCTTTTCGTTATCGGTCACGATGCTGGCCATAACTCTTTCTCAAAGAATCAGCTTATTAATGACATCGTAGGAACAGTGATGTTTATGCCGCTGATCTTCCCGTTTGAGCCCTGGAGAATTAAGCACAACACTCACCACGCCCACACCAACAAGTAAGTAACTGGTTGCTGCCTTTGATGATTTTTAAAATAAGGTACCTGGGTAGATATGGATAGAAAGAAGCTGCAACAACTCTCCGATCCCAGGGTTTCTCCAATTTTTTTAAACTAATGAACTCGTGGACATCTCATCCTAATTACAATTCTTGCATTTGAATTGTCAGGTTGGTCATGGACACAGCATGGCAACCATTCAGGCCATACATGTATGACCGTTCGAAAGGAGTGGCAAAATTTATGATGGAGGCTTCCATGGGACCCGCTTGGTGGTTTGCATCTGTTGGACACTGGCTTTTCTGGCATTTTGACCTATCGAAATACAGGGCTCAAGATCACAATAAAGTGAAGGTAAGTATTTCAAGCGTTGATGTATTACATGGAATGTTTTTCATTTTAGTCCGAGGCCATTTATAAGATTTATCATTATCTCATACTCAGCATGAAATGCGAATCTTAGCATGTTTTGGTTAAGGTTTTCTTGTTTTATCTGATTCAAGTGTTTCATCGACGAACCGTTTATCGACATACGGTTTGAGACATTTACGAAATTGACCTGGACGATTGTTTGCAGGTAAGTTTGGCTGCCGTTGCTGCATTCGGCGTTTTTGCTCTGCTTCCACTGCTATACTTCACTGGTCCTCTGGGCTTCGTGAAGTGGTGGGTACTGCCCTGGTTGGGTTTCCATTTCTGGATGAGTACATTTACACTAGTACATCATACCGCACCCCATATTCCTTTTAAGCAGTCCCGTGAATGGAATGCTGTTGAGGCTCAGCTTAACGGTACCGTTCACTGCGAGTACCCGGCATGGTAAGTACTCACCCCTGCATGGACAGAAATTCTGATCTTGTATGCTGCGTGGTCAATCTCGAAGGCGTCTTATTCCAACTGGAGTGGCTGGATTCTTATTTATGTTTTTGGGTTGCTGATTCAACTTGACAACAATTCAACGTAAGGGTAGAAAGAGTGCATCGAAACTGAATTTACATCTCGTGCAACTGCAGGATTGACTTCCTCTGCCATGATATCAGTGTCCATATCCCTCATCACATCGCATCGAGGATTCCCAGCTACAACCTTCGCAAGGCCTATGCCTCCCTTCAGCAAAATTATGATAAGCACCTCAATAAAGCAGAGTTCGGGGTTCCCCTTATGACTACTATTCTAACCCAGTGCAACCTATTTGATGAGAAGAAGAAGAAATGGGTGAAATTTGACAAATCAAAGCGAGACGAAGCCTCTTTCGAGACTGCGATGGAATAGTTCAATAAAGTAATGTTTCACTATAATCACCGCAGATTCAAGTGCTTTTGTATGATCGCACAGTAATTTGACAACATAGGAACGGATGGGTTAGATCCTTTTGACTACCATCCCTAACGACAAGATGAGAGTTCCATAGGTGAAAGTTAAGTAGTTTTCACATTGGTGACCAAAACTGCAGAGTTTCTGAGGGGACTGACTCTGATTCCGAAACACAAGGCTAGTTTATCAAAAGTTCCCTTACGTTACTTTTGCAGCGGAAGATTTGTGGAGTAGAGTGATCCGAGGGAATGATATTCAGTGGATTCAGGACCACAGAATGTGGAACCAGAGATGTAACATCATGATACATAAAGCTTCTCTGTGCAGGAGCATAGGCTGCAGCTTTTGACGACGCGAAGGTTATCGCATAAATGCAACATGCAACCTGTTATCGCGTAAAGAGCTTATTCATAGTGTTGTTGGTAACCACCAAACGATAATCTCAGCAATGTCTTCCACTCCCACTTCAAATCAAACAGATCAGTACAACTACTCACAACCTCGCAAGGATATTATTTCACAAACACGTGCCCAATTCGATAGCAAAGTGAACGAGTCTAGAGCAGTAACATCTGCCTATGTCATAAACCCAGTGACTTGAAAACTCTTATTCTTCGCAAATTGGTAACGTCGCAATTCGTCCCTATCTCACCTATACAACAAGGAAAATTATCCCCTCACGATATTAGCATTCTAATTATCTGTCAGTGCCCCAACACACTATCACCAGTGAGCAGCTAACCTGGATTCTGAAAATTTCCTAAAGTCACACCTTCAAACCTCACGCAGAGAACAAATATCAATGCACACAAGATGAAATATTATGGACGTAGCGCCTGATATCTTCTGCGTGCACGATTGAGCCCAGTTAGTAATCGTGTGTAGATTGTCGGTCAGTCGTTTTTAATACAAACACCTTCTCATCTGTTAAGCAATTATCATACACCTTTCCCCCATCCTCCCCTCGTTTTAGTTCAGAATGAGAATAAATGAAAACGACGAAAAGCACAGAACGCAGTCATAGCTGAGAATCGAGTCCATCCCTACAAATCACAAGCGAGAATCACAATGATGTTCAATCACGCACTCCGGCAAGCACTTTCGTGCCACCTGGTCGGCCGTAGCACATACTTTAGTATAAATTTATCGGCACACTGGGGCTGGTCGGCCATTTAAGTTGCTATTCCAGGCTTCGAAGGACTATTATACATGGGCTGAGAGCTTTGACCGCCTCGAAACCAGGGCCCATGTCGCCACAACAGTACACCGAATCGTGCAAAATGCAAGGCCCACAAACTTTTACCCATCGGTATTCCTTTTTACCTCCGTCACAATCCAGCTCCCCAACGAAGAAGAAAAGTGTACCAAGCTTTGCCTGTAACCACATCTCGAGATTTTTTCTTCCTCATCACTGCCTGCTCCTCCACAACACCTCCCACAATACAACACACGGCAGCTCGAAGCCTGTGGATCATTCCCTGCACCGAAGTTCATGCTTCTGCCGTGAGGATCCTCTCTTCTCGTTTGCACCTTGTCGGGCACTTGAACGCTGGCTTTGTGTGCCTGGATCTGATCCTGCACTGCCTCGGTTTGAGATTGCTCAGACCTCTACTTTTTGTAGATCTCAAGCTTGTGGGATTAAGCAACAACCCCATGTGAGTCGGTCTTTGTGTAGGTGGTCTGGGACAGATGTGTCGGGGGGAACAGAACTGGCTTGAGGATTAGTTGGAACTGCATCTTTGCACCATTCTTGCACATGGAAGAAGATGTGGTTAGTGGTCAAACTAGTGTGGAACTGGAGTACAAGCTTCCTTTACAAACTTAATTGATCTTGCCGCTAACTTGGAACCTGGTTAGCATTGCACTTTCAACAAGTGAAATTTGGGGGAGACTTTGTGTTAAGAAGTCTCTCTGGCCATTGATTTTAGGAGCTTACGTGTGGACAATGTGGATACACAGAAATGAGGTAATTTCTAGTCAAAAAATCCAGTATGGCAATAAAGTAGAAGGGATTATATAAATCCACTTCATCAAGAGTGCAGAATTCTGTCATCTTATAATATTATAAATGAGTCAAAAAAAGATACCATAACCTGAGAATAAATACAGAAAAAAAATTCATAAGCGTAGATTAAATTTAATATGCTAGCAACCTTTGGAGAAGGAGAACATGTCCAATGAAAAAAAAAAAAAAAAAAAAAAAAAAAACTCGTGTTTTATATTATTTTGTAAAAAGGTCTACTTCCTCACAATCCAAAAATAAAACGAAACAAGTAATGAATTAGACCTCAATTTATTCCATTCAATTCTTCTACACTAGACATTATTCTTGGCAACAATCTTTTAAACCGGTTTTATTTTTGTAAGATGTGGAGGAAAGTCTCAGATCCATTTCACCGATTTCTTGTTTTAGTGTTTATAATCTCCCTGAAATTCAATACCATATGCTTTGACAACGCTGTTTGTCTAGATATTATAATTTAGTTTATCATCCTTCTTTTCGACAGCTATTAATATATTGCATATCCATCATTGTGTATGTATGTATGCATGCATATATATATATATATATATATATATATACATAATTGTAAAATAGACTTTCCATTTTGTAAAAATACAAGACCATTTAATGAAGCTGAAAATTCAATGTTTTAGAATGTAGAGTTGCAAATCACTCTATTACTTTATTTCTACCCATGTATGCAAAGATTTACTCTATGGAAAAACATTTATTCATTCATGTCACACCAATTTATTTGGTTACGCAGGATACAATTGTTAAACTAATTTGTAGAATGTACGAATTCAAGCAATGAATTTTAATTTTTCTCAAATAAATCAAATCAAATCAAATCAAAGATCTAAAGCACATGTTTTACAAACTTGTTTTATGAAAAAAATTCATAATTTTTTTTAATAAAAAATAAAAAACTTGTTAAATCAATTCTTGCATATATATATATATATATATATATAACTTATTCAATATTCAAATTTACAGTTTTATTAAGATCTCAAACAAACATTACATGTAAACAAAATTGACTATGTAAGCATCTGTGTGTATATATATATATATATATATATATACACACACACACACACACACATATGGTTTAAAATATATATATACTTATATCTACTACTCATCAATGATACGTTTTAGTTTATAAAAATGTACCCAATATTATTATCTATATATATATATATATATAGGCACACACACATTATGTAGGAAATGTATTCCCCACTTTTTATGACATGTGTGTTCGAATATATTCATGTGATCAAACTTAAAATTCTTTGGATGTTTCCAAATAAGGACATTTTATTCTTTTCAAATCATTCTTTCTCAGGAATTTTAAGTAATCCACTTGTGTATGGAAGAATGTTTTGTGCTTGATTATACCTGCTTGAATGAGCAACCAATCAGAGCCAATTCAATACGCTCTCTATTTTCATGAAACATAAACCTTTCAATGTTGTGGGTTCATAAATTTTCCTTTGAAGAAACCTTTTACTTTTTTTTCTATCTGCAATACTTTCGATTGTGTATGTACGTACGTACGTGAATATATAATTACGGTTCCCGTCACTAATAGTGGATGAATGAACCTGAATACATTCGTCAATTTCATGAGACTCACCTATTGCCGTGCACTCATGAATACGTATACAGACAGCAGCAGATGATTGGCTGAGTCCCCGGGAAAGCTGACATGGCTCCAACTTTCTTTTGATTTGGGAATGGAGCCATGTGCCCGCCCTTGCTTTTCCTTTTTTCCTTTTCCTTTTTCTTTAAAGTGGAAACTCTAATTCCCAGGTCCTTCATGCATGCCTGTAAGTCAGCATACTAGAAGCTCATCTCGTGCATTCTAGCATTTGTTATCTCAAACAGTTGTCTTAAATGTTTGGAATAAAGGCATTAAACGAGAACAAGAAAATGAAGGAAATCTACAAAACTAATTACTTAGAAATTAAAATTTAAATTTGTAACTTTCCTCTTCCACCTACTCAATTTTTCTTACAAAAAACCTAATTAAATATCAGGTATTTCCAGTAGCAGTTACCAATTATATATATATATAGATATATATTTATTTATTTGTTTATGGGAGAATATGACAAGACACAACTTTTTGAATTCCTTTTGATTGGTTGTAATGTATAAATTTCTCAGTTTTAGCCAATCAAAGGATTTGGAAGTTGTAACCTTCTCCCTCAAATACAAAGACTTCTTTAAAACACTATTGTTTACTCAATTTCAAGCCAAAAATTGGATCTCCTTGGATAATAGTTGACAATCTTGAATGGTGTGCCCTACAGGTTTCATAATCCCCTTCACAAATAATGCCACATGTATAGATTTGAATCGAAATAATTTGAAGAAAGAACCCTCTTTCAATAGCAATTGTGAAAAAAAAAAGAGAAGGATGAACAATAAAAAAAATAAAAAAAAATAAAAAAATGAAAAATATCAGAAACAAACACTGGGAACAATAAGAAATGAGAAGGAATGTCTACTAAGGAGAATAAGAATCGTTGCATGGACCTCAGAAATGGTGAGATTCCACCTAGAACTGGCTTCCATCACCAACTGGGCCTTGAACATGATTGTGGACTATGATAAGGAACCCATCATTTGATACTCTCATGTGAGGCATCATCTGGCTTCTTTATATTGATTTTTTGTCTCTTTCTCAAGCAAAGTCCACAGTTTTCCCTGTAAACTATTATATGTGCTTTGACAAGAGAATGGAGGATGCCCTCATTCTGAATGCGGAACTGTGGAGGAGCACTTTGCTGGAGCTGGGGCAGAGATGATGGCAGGGGTCCCTTCAAGCCTGCCCGCTGCCCGTAAATTTACTCGCTTGGGGCAGAGTGGGCAGTTGTTTCACCAAACCCACTTTGGACTGGCAGCCTTAGTCCCCCAATCATTGTACTGGCCATGGTGGCTCCAAACCCACCATGGCCAAAATCTGAAAAAACTGACCCAAAAACACTGAAGAAGAAAAATATATTACCCTAAATATAAAAAAAAATAAAAACAAACAAACCTAGGGCTCAAGAGTCTAGGGGAAAAAAGAAGGGGTTAGAAGGAGTGGGCAGACAGAGTTGTACTACCTGACATCCTGCCCGTGGGCAGAAGAAAAAAACAAATGATCCTCGGGCAGGTGTTGACAATTTTCAGCAGCTCATTGGAGGGGGAGGGGGTGCTGTGGAGCTTGTCCCTCCGAAGCTCGGCTTATTTTCCTCTGCCCCAGACTTTGCCCCCTGCCCGGGAGAGAAACTCACCCGTCCCCTTCCTTACCCTGCCCGTCCAAAACCCGGGCTGAACCAGCACCCGAAGCCACCTCCCCAATCACGAGAAGCCAGCTGTCGCAGCCGACAGTAGCTCGATTCCAACTTATCCTCTGGGTGCTGACCAAGCAAAAAACTTAGCCCCGAAAACCCTAAAGGAATCAAGTAAAAAAAAAAAGTAAAAATAATAAAGACACTGGATGAAAACGTAAAAGGGGAGAGGTAATTCCCCCAGTACCATAGGCCTGTGTCCGACCGTAATCAGCTCAGAATCATCAATCTTTTTAGAAGTAAGAACCCAAGTAAGAAAATAACCCATACGGTTTGTATCGGGAACCAAACGTTCTGTCGCGTTCCCACAGTATCTGCTCTCAAGACCTTTGAAGACTTCCTTGTTCCCTTTGAGTTCCCCAAACCAATGTGAGCCCTAGTCATGGGGGTGTGTTGTTGCCTTGGAATGGAAGCCTATTTTCCCCCTCCTGGGATCTTTGGGAGACGGTGGGAGTGTTCATCTTGCTTCTCAACGAAGGTTTGTGTCATTTTTTATTAATTAATAATATTCGTTTGAAAGTTAGAGATTAGAAAAATAAAATAATCGGAATTATTGAATGATAGCATAGAAAATTATGCACAATTTCTTTAAGAAACTTCAAACAACCATATCTTGTCGGGGTACCTGCTCAAATTGAGCAAATAAGCATCCTATCTGTAAAAGATTATGGAGTACTTAATATAGTGCTTTGAAATTCCAACATTCTGGTCATGTTTTTTTTTGTTTTGTTTGTTTGTTTGTTTTTTTTTTCTTTTTTTAGTTTTGTTTCATCAGTATATTATAAATAATAATAAAAGTGAAATATCTTGTTTTAAGTTTTTTTGTTAAATAATTATAATGGGTTGATTTATGTGCATGAGTGATTATGAATATAATTTGTGCCAGAAGCAAAAAATCAATACATAAATAACCATATAAATACATAAAAGGAGTTTGCAATATTTATTTTGCTGCCATTGTTATTTTTTTGGTTAGTAATTGAGATTCAGTACTGAGGTATCCTCTCAATACTTCAGATTACAAATTCCACAGTAGACACATTAAATTAGAATCAGGTAAAAATAATTGATGGTTTCAGTTGGTCAGCTTTTTAATTTAAAATCTAAGATTAATTAAATATCTAAGTAAAAATTCGAATCCATACTGATAAATTCTGTAGAATATGGTTTCAATACATCAGGTATATATATATATATATATATATATATATTTGGTGAGGATTCATAAAATTCATGAAAATTCTTTTTGTATATGTTAAATTAGCAGAAAAATAGATTTGAGATTGAATTAATTAGTTATAACTGTTTGAATAAAATAATTTAAAGGTTTGAATCTCAATTTTTTGCCAACATGATATTCATCTAATTACTCAGAAAGAGTTCATACAAATTGCACTAAAAAATACATGAGTATTCTATTTTTCATTCTGAACATAACACAATACAGTATATTTGAAACATGTGAATTTGGAATTTAGAAGAAAGCATAAAAGAAGGAGCGGTCTTGAAGTTTTGTAATAGAACTAGTAATTTAAAAAATAAATAAATAGAAAAGTTATTTTGAAGGTTATATTGTGGAATCTAGTGCTGAACTGCTAGGAATGTTTCTTTCATTTTATTTTTTGGCAAAAATAAAGGGGTGTCTCTAAAACTAAGTACATTTTTCATTTTATTCCTAATTGTAGATTTATTCTTGACCAAGCTTTTGCAAGTCTTGTAAGAGTGGAGTTGAATCTTATGTGTTGTATTTGCTAAGACAGTACCTAAACATAATTAAGAATGATCTTGCACGTGAAGGGAGGAAATTAGTGACATCATCTAGAGTTGTTAATGTTCTTATCCACACTTATCGCATATCTATTTAATTGCTTTACAGTACATGAGAGAAATATGCTTAATAATAGTAATAAATGTTTGCAAAGTAACTAAATTTAAATCTTCATGTTCAATTTTATTTTTTATAGCTTTATTTTATATTCTTGTGCGTAAAAACACAACTTTTGTGGTGCTTTGCTTATACATTAATTAAACTGATTACATATTCTTTTATAAGTTAAATAATACAAGGTTATTGTTTCATTTTTAAAATCTTTAAAATTGTTGAAAGTAGTTTAAAGTTTCAGGAAGTATTTTTTTCTTATTTTTTAAAAAATAATAAATAAAATAGGACTCCCGTATTATACTGTAAAGGGCTATTTCAATTATATACCACAATTCAAAATCACAATATATTTTCTTAGATTTATTTTATATAACAATATAAAATAAAATATCTCATGAACAAATTTAGTATACCTTACTAAGACAAATTATTTTAAAACTTATAATTATTTCTGTTCTTCTTGACATAAATAATATTTATATTGCTTATTTAATATCTCTTGATCTCAAAACTTATATATATATATATATATATATATATATATATATATTAATCAAGTTAAATGGAAATGAAAATTAAGTAAGAACTATGATTGTAAATTGAATCTCTAAATTTTTTTATTTCTAATTTTTTATTTTTTATTTTTATTTTCTATAAAATAATTATACAAAACTTTCTATTAACCACCCATAAACCATATCATAACATTTGATATATTTGTATGCACCATCTCTTGTTAATTGCACCATCACCAAGTTTATACCAAAAAAAAAAAAAAAAAAAAAAAAACCCACAAATATTCAACACTTTCAATCCCTTCTCAATTTTGCACTTTGAAGAAAAGAAAAGAAAAAGAAAAAACCACATGAATCAAAACACAAATATCCTAAGGCTACCAATGAAAGACACTACCATAGAAGGTGAGCCCTAGAAGAAAAACAAATCCTCAAATCACACCGCCCATAACAACAAGCACTCTAAATTTAGGACAGTGGTAACGAAGCTGCAAGGACCCTGCGGGCGTGTCGTTACGTGGCCGCATCAGGCCGCGGCAGCGGCGATGATAGCGGCAGGGGGCAACGGCAGTGGTGGAGACGACGTGTCCGGCGACGCAGTCCTGGGTTCTGGTGGAAACGGAAGAATCCACCCGTGAGGACAAAAGGGCGAAGTGGGGAATGGGAGGATGGAGAAGGGGAAAATTCTGGACTCACTGCAGCAGACATCGTCGTCATCGTCAATCGTGCATTAATCGCGGTTTTACCAGACGGAATGGCGAGATAATTTTGCGGGGGGAGCGCAGGAACGGAGGGAGGGTGTGTGAGTGTGTTAGAGAGAGAGAGAGAGAGAGAGAGATATACGGTGCTGCTTGCATCGATCCGGACAAGCGGCTGAAGTGCTGCTGCAGTTGAGCCCCATGACGGCCTAGAATTGCGCAAGGGCAACGGAGACCTGGTCGTTGTGGGCTAGCCAACTTGTTGGAGCTTGTGGGTGACTGGAGAGGGCGGGTCTGAGGGGGAGTAGACGGAGCCGGGGGTGTGGGGCCATGAGAGTGGCTGTGTCTACTGGATTGATAGGAGGCAGTGGAGATCTTGCCATGGGTCATCGCTACCCCGACCTCCTCGGCCAGTGCCTTATCACACTCTGAAAGAGAAAGGAAAGGGTCAAGTGTCGAGGTTCCCCAGCTGATGGTTGCTGGCTCTTTTATTATTATTATTTTGTTTTGTTTTGTTTGTTTGTTTTATTTTTTTTGTCTTCTCCCTTCAGAAATTACAAGACCTGCTGCTTTACTTGCCAGTCTCGGGTCTCGTTGCATCTTAATTGCTGTTCCTTCTTCGGCTTGGATGCATTTCAATCATCCACTCAGCTGGTGGATCAAGCGATCGAGTGCAGCAACTGTGTGAGAGAGGGCTGCGATCTATGCTTTCGTTAACAGTGATAGTTTAGCTTCTGGGTCGTGGTTTGTGCGGTGTAGAGTGTGTTTATTTTTGTCTAGGCAGCGAGAGGTGTTCTCTGAGGTTTTATCGCACTTGTGTTGCGAGGACTGATTGATGATCTGGTAACGTTGGAGAAGTCGCCGGAGTCGTAGTTAAGCTACGGAGCCTGTCAATCTGTCAAGATGCCCGAGGTACTAAACTAGTTTTCCCTATCTAGACTCGCCATTTGCTGGTCTTGATTGATTGATGTCGAGACCTGTGACTCAATTGCTCCGCATTGGTTTCTCACACTATTGTCCTTGAATACTCAGCACATCCTCTGCACTTGTGTGAGCATGTCGGTGGCATGATCGGTGAGCATTCATGCGTGAATTTGTTTTTGTGGAGGAGTTGTGAGAGCTTAAAGACCTTGAAGCTTGTTTTCTGTGGCGTCCCATGATCGCGTTACATCACAATGTTACATTTTAACGCGAAAGTGATCTAACTTTGCTCATCGACTATGATTGCTAGTTCCACAATTTGAAAGATTTACGTAGTGCTCTCACTTTTCGACTTTTCTGTATCTTCAATCCCCAGAAGCGTTTTGTATTGTCTGTGCGTGAGGGTGATCCTTGAGTTGAAGTTCAATGCCATTGATTAATTTCGAGGGGATAAACAGTGATCTTGCAATCTCCGTCTGCCTATCTCGAAATTCTCGTAGCGGCGGACGATTGCCTCAAAAAATCGTGCAAGAGCTAACGAAGTTTGCAATCACACACTTCCTTTCTTTCGTCACTCTACCTTGGTTTGTGGCTTTTGGCGACCGCTTACGCATCTCACTATTTTCTCCTCCAAATTGAAGATTCATTGGTAGCTCGTGGTTGCATCCTGTTTCATTGCTACAGATCGGCGGTGCTGCAACTTTTATGTTATTTTTATTTTCTATTGATTTAAGTTTTGGTTTTTCTCTTTGTTGGTTTTCTTTTTATCCTCCTCAGTCAATTCGCTCGAAATTACCTTGATTCCTCTCAAACAGAGTTTTTAGTGTCCAGTTGACGAGGCAGATTTTGGAAGCATCCACAATCTGCAAGTAACGTCTACGTGAGCAATTGTGGGAATAATTCTTTCAACCCAATTATGAATGCTGACCTGTCACCATGGGTGCAAATGTTGATTGATGATGCAGACAGTGGAAATCAGGACGGTGGTGCTTCGGGTGATGCTGCACTGCGAAGGTTGTGCTCACACCGTAAAGCGAGCTTGCGCCAAGATTCCTGGTAAGAACTCCCCACCTCGGTCCTTACCATTCAGATCATGGGTACATGTAATGCTAAGTGCTTTGCTGAAGTTGGATTTCAAAGTGTCGTGGGAGTCTAACCGCAAACATGCTATTTGGCTTTTGCAACAGGTGTTACAGCCTACAAAGTGGACTTTCCAGGGCAGCTGGTAACTGTGACTGGAAATGTAACCCCAGAGGAAGTGTACAGACGCATCAAGAAGACTGGAAAGCAGACCGAGCTCGTGCCTCCTCCACCTCCTGCTAAGAAAGAGGAGCCCAAGAAGGCGGAACCCAAAAAGGAGGAAAAAAAAAAGGAGGAGAAGAAGGAAGAAAAGAAAGAAGAAAAAAAAGAGGAGAAGAAAGAGGAGAAGAAAGAGGAGAAGAAAGAGGTATAGCAACTGCACCTGCACCTGAACTGAAACTATACATCACTCCTGAAAACCTTCTCACCTGTTCAGAAATCAGTAGGATTACAAGCTGCTACTCAATTGATTGCAATCTGTTTTTCAGAGTTTGTTTATCATATGAAGTTCACTCATTGTTGAGTTCTGCTCAAGTACTGAACAACTATGAATGACCCAGGAAAAGCCAGCAGATGATAAGGCTAAAGCAGGAGGTGGTAAGAAGAAGAAGAAAGGTGGAGGTGGTGGAAATGGTGGAGGAGGAGGAGGAGGAGATAAGAAGGCTGATGCTCCAAAAGCAGAAGAAAAGAAGGAGGAAAAGAAAGAGGAGAAGAAAGAGGAGAAGAAAGAAGAAAAGGAGGAAAAGAAGGAAGATAAGGAGAAGGAGAAGCCCAAAGATCCACCCAAACCTAAGGAAGAGAAGAAACCACCACCCACACCCGAAGAACTCTATCCCGTCACCTTTGTGCTTGGCCAAGATTACACTAGATATTACTACTATTGACATAACAATCAAGCAAATTAATCTTAGATCAACTTGTACAATTACTTTGGTTGCCATATTTTCTAGAAGCTAGATGTAAAGGATTGTGTCCAATTACTATTACAAACTTGAACATGGCAACCAATGATGCTAATATCTAGCAGGAAAGTTTTGAATCAATCTAAGATGATTTTTGTCTTTAAATATCATTGGGAAAAATAAAATAAAATAAAAAAATCACACATAAATACAAGAAGTAGACACTAGATGCTAATGGTTGATGTTACATATTTTGAATTATGAGACATTTTTTATAGTTTCTTTACAAACAATAATTGGTATAAGTCTTAATGATAAGTTTTGGTTGTAGCAAATAGCCTTAAGCTTAAAGAAAACCTTTACAAGTATAAACTTTTTAAAAATAATTTATCTTCTTGTGTCTAGGATATCTATAGTTTTTGATATCCAACTTAATATGCTTATACAAATTTTTATATTCAATTTTTGTATAAGCATATTAAGTTTATATATAAATTTATGCATATGAAAGTTTATATATAAATTTTTGACATCCAACTTAATATGGTTATAAAAAGTTGTGCATACTTGCATAGTCTTATGAAAGTTTATATATAAATTTATGTATATTAAAGCCAAAGCCAATATACATCATGGATATTTGATATATTCATGGAAAATAACAAAAATACTTGTTGTAAATATATAATATATTTATAAAAAATATATTAACTACAAATTGGTTAAAAAATACAAATAACTATTTTAAAAATTAAAATTTGATTCGATACAATGTTGGATAAATTTTTTATATAAAATTATTGTTTTTAAAAAAATATATATATATATATATATATATATATAAATAAATAGAAATAAAAATTTAAAAATATAAAATTTTATACTATATTATAAAATACATGATATGAATAAATTTTATATATATAAATATGGTATAAGACATTATTAAGAATAAGATTTGGCACTTTTTCTCCACAAAAATACATCCTTTACATCTCCAAATTAATTGTAACAAAAATAATTACTAAGGCCTTCTATGAAACAAATTCTTTTATATTATTGCAATTACAAAAATCCTTATTTAAAGCATAGTGTAATTGCAAATGATAATGAAACAAAGACCATTCACAATAAGAACATATATTTTATAACCTATAAAATCTTAGAAGTAAATTTTTAATTAAAATAAATTAATAATAATAAATATACTATAAGAATGATTATTTTTACTTCACAATTTATACTATAATCTACTTCACATACTATAATCTATTTCATTTCACAATTTAGCAAATAATTTATTAAGACTTAGCGACACCTAATCAAAAATTCCAAAACCATCAACATATTGAATGCTTCATTGGAGTAAGAGTGAATAATATATACTATTCCTTGCATAATATAGTTACATTTTTTATTAGTATTTTTTTTAGTAACATTAATTTATATAACTAATAAAATATTCTAAAATCTTAGTAGAGATTAAATTTATGACTTTAAGATTGTGACTAATGATAGTAAAATTAGGTTGACAAGTTAAGCAATTAATATTGCTAATACTAGTCATATTAACTTTATTTTATACATAGTATATTTATTATGCTAAGTTTCTTTTTATCATATCAATCAAATCATCTATTAATCCATCATTTCTAGGTAGCACTAGAAATTTTAAGATTAACCTAGTAGCTTTGAAAAATAAAATTTATAGTAAATAAAAATAACTTGCAGTACACATCTTTTAAAGAAAATTCCAAATGTAACAACAAAACCAATTTGAATAACTAAGACTACTTCAACATTATGAATTTTGTACTCATGTAAAATTTCAAAACTCTATTTCTTATCCACATGTGTTAATTAAAATGTAATATATATATATATATATATATATATATATATATATATATTTATACACATTTAAAATAAAAATAAAAATGTAAAAGTAAATACAACCACTAATAGTTATACATGTTTAAACCTTTTAATAAATCAAAAATTATTTAAGAAATCAAATATAAACAAATCTTTTTCACAGTTAAGCAAACAAATTGAAAGAGATTTCTTATTAAAATATATGAGAATAACTTCTAATTTTCTAATTAGAATCTATGTATGATCATTTTTATTTTATTAGAAAGAATGGATGGTTGCATTTTAAAAAAGTTAGTTCTATATATGTCCTATAAATTCTATTAAGATTCATTGATTCCACCATTAAGAACAAAAGTAAAATATTGTCTAAAGAGAATTAAATTCAAAGCATATTGAAAGGTTCTTATGCAATTCTAGTAGTAAAAATCTCACTTAAATTTTAGAATATAAAAAAACCAATCTATGTAATTAAAATATCTATAAAACTAGAATGTCATCCAAACATAGTATACATCAAACATATTCAGATTTTTCTAACTACCATTAACAAAAACATCTAAAATATTTACTAATTACATTTATTACTACACTAACAAATGATTGTTAATATAATTTTTATTACTGAATTCTACTATTAGATATTATACAATCTTCTTAAAAATGTGCTTGTATTTTAGACATGGAACATATGAGATTGTAATTATCTTCTAATATAGGCAATACAATTAGACAATGTATCTTAGAAGTATCAAGAACCATCAATGTAATATAGAAAGATTTAGCAACAATAACTTGCATGTTAACATATAAATCTTTTTTTAGAAATAATTCTTATTAGTCATTTGAATACATAAACATATGTCAATCACTAATGCTTTAAATGAAACATATATATCTTTAAAAGCACTTAGCTAATAAGATTCAAGCACAATTATTTTTATGACACAATTGTTTAGAACTAAAAACTAAAACTCAATAAATTTATAAAGGTGTAAGAATTAAGAGTTTTATGTAAAAGTGTATTGCTTCCAAAAAAGATCTTTAAAAGAACCTTCAATAATAGCAAGAAGAGTCAAAAGCCAAACTATGGCATTATTATAATAGATAATACCAAAGATGTAAGTTAGAGGTATAAACTCATAGGCAATAGTTTTGGATTGTGTCTCTATTTGAAAAATTAATAATGTTGAATTTCTTAAATTATAAAATTTAGTAATATTTTCTAAATTTTAATCTTTTAAAATTTAGGAATTTAAAACTCAAATTTGAACCCTAAATTCTATACTTTGTCTAACTTTGAGTTTTAAACTTAAATTAAAATGAATTATAGTTAAATTTTGTAAACTCAAATATGTCTCGAGTTCCAATTAAACCTTGTGAGATAAAATTTACAAGAATATATTAAAAGTCTTCTAATTTCTTATTTTGTTGAAAAAAATTCTATACAAATAATATTTATTTATTTATTTATTTATTTATTTATAATAAGATTTTATAAATCTAACATGCAAAATAAAACTTCCAAAGTGTTATTAGAAAAGAATTAGAAACTTTATTAGTTCCAATAACTAAGTATAAAGCTCAAACATTTTAGCTTTAAAATATCTAAAGTGATACTTTGCAAAAAAATAATATCTCAAACTTAATATTATGTTTATACTAAAACATCACAAACTGATGTCTACTTCTTTGTTAGTAGGAATTACATTATCAAGACAATGCATTTATATAATTCAAAAGTATAGTAGAGAAACCTAGCTTAAAAAAACTATTTGTACAATATAACCTCAATAATTATTGTTTTGATTGTAAGAGTCTTATCAAACAATCTATAACAAAATATTATAAAATCCAATAATCTTGTTGAAAATATCTAATTTACAAAATAAATTGCAAATAAGAGGATGTGATAATTAGAAAAAAAAAAAAAAAAACAAAACAAAACAAAACCACTGGTACAACCAAAATTTGTTACAATAATTCTATACAACTAGATATTTAAATTAGCCTAAATATTATTGAGTTGCCGCTGAGTAATCTACTTACAAATTTGTTTTAACAACTTTTAATGTCAATTTTTTTTTTAAATATCACATTCCCATAATGCTCCAAACGAATTAATTACTATGATTTTGGTTTGTAATTTTTTACCATTTCTAAATCATAAGAAGAAATTATCACACATGTGGCTTTATTCTTCTAACTCTTACCTATTTCAAATTCAATCCCTTTAATCTTTTTAGTAATCCCCATCTTACTAAAAACATATCTATCTATTTCTTTTGAAACTTACAATGTAGCATGTTGTTTTTATTTGCAAAATTAGTTTGTTACAAATTTCAAAATAACACAATTCAATATCTCTTGCCCATCAAATTTCTACCAAAACAACCAAATAACACTATTCAGTACCTCTTGTCCAACAAATTTCCACCAAAATAACCAATAACACTATTCAATAACTCTTGCTTAACAAATTTCTACCAAAATGACCAAATTTAATGTTGTTTTTATTTGCAAAATTAATTAGCTACAAATTTCAAAATAACACTATTCAATATCTCTTGTCCAACACATTTTTACCAAAATAGCCAAATTTAAAATGGATTGGGATGATTTTTTTCATCTCTTTTAGATTACTCAAATCTATCTTTCTACAAGCTTCTGATTGCCGAAATTTACCACAATTGCCAAACCTTTATTTACTTACTTATTTATTTATACATATACATGGAAAAGAAACTCAATAAATCCAAGAAAGGAAGAAAACCTGAACAAGCCGAAGTTCTTTAATCAGGATTGCGATGCGATGGGATGACAGAGGCGAAGGAGCGAGCAAAGTGATTCCAATGTCCTGAAATCACAGCATTAGGGTTTGGAGCTCTCTGGGTTTGTCTGCCAGTCCTTTGACCGCTCTCTTGTGACCAAGGAACGTGGTTTTCAATACTTGATTAGATAGGTTTTCACCACCGTTGGTCTTTCGCTCCATTGGAGCATACCTGGACTTGAAAACTAAAAAAAAAGAAATTGGGACCCCACATTCTTCTGTCCATGTTCATTTTAAGACATTCATTCCAACAATTGGGTCAGATTCGACTAAACTCGAAATAACACAAATAAGAATTACGGCAACAGCGAATTTCAAAGACCCATTAATTTTTAAGAACTACTAAAGGAACAAGTTAAAAGAATAATAATAATAATAATAATATAAAGTTCACTCTTCTGAAACCCTTGACTGCCATGCTATGCCTCCGTGGACGTGTTGAACCAAAATTCAAGCAATCGTTGCAGTTAAAACAAAAAATAAATAAATCAGCACGATTTGGAAAAAAGAAACACTCGTACAGAACCCAAAGACTGTAGAAAGAATCAATCCGATCCATGAGTCTTGAACATACAAATATGTGGAAATTGTAAATTTGAGACTTATAACCTAGAAATCCGGAAAATACTGTTTTTTATAAAAAGGATGATTAGAAATACTTCATATTCGGTACCGTATCCCGTGACCGTATTACGTATGGTGTGCTTTCCGATGTGGGCTGGTCACAAAGGATGGTTTTCGTAAACCCTAATCAGTTGGTGAGGAGGCTGCTGGAGTCTGCCTCCTCTGAATCTCAGCATTGGGACTAAGACGCAGGTGAAGTTCTCGCAGTCTGTGCATCATGAAGTCGGAGAAGAATCCGTTGGAGATGGAGGGTTTGTGCGAGAAGAAGGTGAAAATGGTGGTTCATTTGCACCCTTCGCGAGCTTCCAATGTGCGACAAGGAGTTCGCGAGATTCTGAATTCTCTACTCTTGAGGTGGGTAGGGAGGCTCTTTCTCATTCGGAAGTCGCACACCGGTGTCCGTTTTTTCTTATGTGGGTGGCAAGGAGTCTGCATGTTTCTGTCATCTTTTGTTTGCCCCTGCATCCAAAATTCTCATTTAAAGCCTGCGCCCAACTGTGTCAGATGCACCTTGTGAACGTTGTTGCTCTTGGTTTGTATTGTCTATACACGATTTCTTCACTCGGCATTCATTGGGAAAGTCTATAGGGGCTAGACTGTGGAAGCAGGAGGGGAGTGTTATAGGAGTCCTTAAACCCTGAACCCTGAGCTTGGTCTGCCACCATTTCTGCAGATGTTGATAATCTAGGTTTCTTTTTTATCATTACTGTCATTACTGTTATTATTTTTCTGAGACGCAGTGACTTCGGTAGCCAACACTGGGATGATGTGGCTGGTCTGGGCGATCGTTTATTTAAAAAAGACTGTTTGGTGGGATGTATGTGTAGATTCAATGAGCATTTTGAAGGATCAGTTCTGGCGCATTCGGATACTAAAATTCAAGGGCGCACGGCGATCATTTTGGAAGGATTGACACCATATTTTTGTGTGCGCTTGACGACCACGCTGCTTCTCTTCTCCCCAAAAGTTGGTATATTTGTAGGTATTATCTATCATTTCTCTTCATGAAACATTAGCGTAACTTGCTAAGCAGTAGATACTGGTCACATCTGATTTTCTTCTTACGTTTATACATCTCAGGTGTCCGTCGAGGATCCTAAATCGACTCATATGCAAATTTGTGTGTGGATTTATAATCAACAAGTAGTGTAGCTCCTAGTGCGCACCTACTTCGTCTTTAGGTTTATGAGCCTGTAGCCAGTGACCTCAATTCATGCGACTGAAATGCTCATTTTTTGCATGAGATCAGAAGGCAAGGTGAACAAAGTGGAAGAAGATTATCTCGGAGTGGTAGTTCTTGGACTTTTCAATGCTGCGATCGGCTCTTCAGACATTCGTAACGGGCTTGTCTATTGTGAAGGAATTGTGCGTGTGTCGTTGATCAAGTGCCTGCTCTTGGGGGATTTTAGTTTTGTTCCCGAGGAATTTTTTTGTCTCAAAATTACTCCATATTTTCGAGGTTGTTGTATTTTGTGTTATTTCCCTTTTTTTCAAAACTTTGCACAAAAGATTTATAAGTAATGTATGCAACAGGATGGAACAAGGGCATGGATGAATGAGAATGATGAACGTCACTGCATTAAAATCGGCAGTTCAATTCGATTCTCTGTGAAAAGGTTTCAACTTCGTCTCCCTAAATCTTTCCCCCTGAACATTTTATATCATTTTCATGATTTTATAGTTGATGTAGCAATGGCTTTGAATCTTTATTGCTTCAAAATAAAAATAAAAAAATAACAACCATGTGCGCTGTCCTGAGCTGACGGCGAGCGACTCTCCTTTGCAGTTTTCAGGAGAACGAAGAGATAGTAGACCTCACTGGAGCTCTACTAGGACCCCAGACAGGGTGTGTAGAATGGCTTGCATTACAGTCCGAGGAAAAACACGAAGCTGAAAGTACTCAAATGTATGATGCTTCCCTTGAGCATCCCCCTCTCCCTTCTTCACTCGGAGTGATACATGTAACTGAGATGCTAATAAATCTCCTGAATTTGTTGTTTTAGCGTTGCTAGGGCCCCTAGATTGCAGATTTAGCTAAGGTTCTTGTACTCCCAGGGTTTGCCAATGCCGATGGATGGGTGACTCGTTTCTGAACTTTCTGTGTCGCTGGTTGATGCTGCAGGCTTTTAGAGAATGGAGTTAAAAAGTCAAAACACAAAGAGAGCAGAAGTGCCGAGGTCGATGCAGAGGTGTCTGAAGGCATTAGTGAGCACACACCCAAGAAGAAAAAGAAGAGGAAAGAAAAGACTGTGACTGGTGACCACAGCAGCGTCAAAAAACGACGAAAGAGTTTGGACGTTTCCGCTCTCTGAAGAGCCCTGTTAGTGAATTAGCTTTCAGAAAATTCGAGACCCCCCTTTTTTCTTTTTTTCTTTTTTTCGATATTTTAGGTAGCACGAGTTGAACTCGCATCTGGCAATACAGTTTCCTTATTCATATTATTGCAGGACTTGGACTATTGCCCTAACCTTTGAATCTCACTATTCATTCTTCAATTTTTTTTTTTCCTTTACACCCGACAAGCTTGTGAGTTTCATCTCTATAATGCGTTATTTGAAAACTTCGTATATGTTGCAGTAAATATTCAATTGGTAATTCACATTTGTTGTGCACTCAAATAGGAAAACTAACTCTTTCTTCTATCCAGTTTAGTGTTACTAAATTACATTATGGGCTCATGATCATGATGCTACTTATTGTTGGTATGAAGTTTCATATTGTCACAAGAAGTTTCGTCTTAGCATCAGATTTTAGTGACGAAGTTTACACTTGTTTTGTTACGATTGGTTGAATAACCTATTTTTGTTGTTTTAATGCCTGCTTAACTGTAAATCATAATATTTCTGATTTTGCAACTTGTGTTATTATGTTTGTTTTTTGCAATGGTCCTACATCACCTTCGTGAATATATCAAGTGATTATAAAAGTGTCTAATATTGTTGGTAGAACAATAGATTTGAGTACGTTTATGTTATTATAAATACATCCATGGAATCTGAACTATTGCATATGACTTGTGTATTTTTTTTCGTTTAAGAAGTAAATCTAAATCTTCTAGTCCTCAATTTTATTAATGGCCTCGTGAAAGACATCTCATGGGTTTTTTTAAATAACCTACAAAATATTACCTGTGTTAGACTTCTAAATTGTTTCTAAAATAACATTTTTCATGACTCCTTCAGTAGTTTTCTTCTTTCCTTCCTTCTTGTTTTTCCTAAAAATTTTGACCAAACATCTATATCCACCAATTTATCACCTTGATATTATTCAATCGCATTTTCATTTCAAAATTAACATAAATGATTCATGCAAAAATTTACAACTTCACCCACCTGTTGCTCAAGCCAAGCTCAAGTATTCATCAAGCATTTAACTCAATTAATCCATTTAAGAAATATAATTCATTTAAAAATATGTAAATCTTTCTACAAGTCATCTTGTCACCAATCCACAAATACCCCTGCGACAGTTAAAAAGACCAACAATACTTTCAAAATTATAACTCAAATATAGAACCAACAAAGTCGTCATCAACATGAAACAGTTCATTATTCCATTGCGGGGGCTGGCAACGAAATCTGCCCGTTCGTCGTGGCCGTCCCCATCGTGGTCAAGTGCTACTTTCGTCTCCTCTCCGTCGCCATCTTCGTCGCTTGTTGTCACATTCGTCCCCTTTCCGTCGTCGTCGCGTCGTCATCGTCCTCGTTGTCTTGCTTGGTGCGGTAAGAGCTTGTCCTTGATTGCTCTTGTGTGTGTTGGACGCTTGCGAGCAGCGCTTTGCGTCGAGGATTTGAAGCGCAGCAAGAGGATCCCAAGCTTTGTCGGATTGTTTATTGCAGAGTGCCAGGAGAGTATCAAGGGAGCAATTCAGGACTTGGCCGGGGTGTGATTGATTGCGGAGAGCTTGAGAGACGCATGTGAGTTTGGAGGACAGCAAGCATGGCGGCGTTGCAATACTTGGAGAAGCAGAGGGCAGCTCAGCCGGAGCTCGCCGAGTGGTACGCCAGCATGGCCGATCTGTACCAGCGCAAGCTTTGGCACCAGCTCACGCAGAAGCTCGACCAGTTCGTGGCGCTCACCGTGTTCCAGGTATTGGATGTTTCCACCTTGTCGGTTTAATCGCTGTGGTTTTCGTGTTCAAGCGAGGTTGTTGTTGTTGAGCGTGCGGTGGTTCGACTTGGGGGTGGCTTGTTTTAGGGCTGTCGGAGGATGGGTGCAGATTGGGAGAATGCGGGTTGTTGCATAGGGTGGTTGATCATTTTATATTTATTTTTTTATTTAGTTATTAGGGTTTTATGTGTGCTACACTGTTGGGAAATGTTGTGTTGATGGGATTTTATGGACGATTGCAGGCGGGAGACACCCTTGTTCAGCTTTACCATAACTTTATTCGGGACTTCGAGACCAAGATCAATCTGCTTAAGCTGGCTCATTTTGCGGTCATTGTATCGAAGCAGTATCCGGAAAAAGGTGCTGCTGTTGCGTATCTCGAGGAGGTCATTGAGAAGCTTAGGACTTCCGGGGAGAGGCGGGTTGATGAACCAATTCTCTACGTGAAGATGCAGGTTGCGGCATTGAAGCTGCAGCGTGGGGAAATTCAGGAGTGCAAGAAGCTGCTAGAAGAGGGAAGAACTACATTGGATAGCATGACTGACGTTGATCCTTCGGTTCATGCGAGTGTTCACTGGGTCTCCTCACAGTATTATAAGTCCCGGCAAGAATTTGCCGAGTTTTACAAGAGCGCCCTGCTGTACTTGGCGTATACATCTGTGGAGACTCTGTCAGAAGACTTCAAGCTGGTTCGTTTCTTCGTTATCTTATTACTTTTCGACTGGTTGCGTAATTTATGCTATGCTCTCCTGACTGTTCAGTGAAGCAAATCAGTTGTCGACTGAAACACCTCTTATTCAATCGACTGAATACCGGAATCCTTTACTTCTAATTTCTACTATTGATGTATCGAAGTTGGAACGGTTTGTTCAAATTTATGCGAGTGATGTCCTGGGTGTGCGTGACTTAATGGCTTATTCGTTTTATGACCTATATGTTGCAGCTGACTACTTCAAACTGTAAAGAAAAAAATTCTTGTTTTGTAAGTCCTTAGAGTTTTCCATGTTGATGTTTAATGAAGGTTGCATCGGACCTTCTGCTTTAAATGCAAAATCTTGGGGTGCATTTGTTCGAGTCTATCTGTCGGCGTGGGTCATTTTTGTAATGCTATCAAGAAGCCCGAGCTAATGTTGGAAGCTGACGGCGGTGTTCTAAATTCCCATATAAGGTTTCCTTCAACGCTGTTAGTATTGGTCACTGTTAAAATGTGATGGTTGCAGGATCTTGCATTTGATCTTTCACTGGCGGCCTTGTTGGGGGACAACATCTATAACTTCGGAGAGCTTCTTGCCCACCCTATCGTAAGTTTTTCAAGCATATTTTGGTGCTATTTCGTATATCCCTGATGTATTGTCTTTGTTCTCCTTCGTTTGATGTCATCTAACTTATAACACTGGCAGTGTCTTCTTCTTGTTGAGGTCACCACAGTGTAATTTTGCAATATTAGTTGCTGGATGCTAGTGGCCACGAAGATCAGAATTCAAGTAGATTCAATAAGTTTTTTTGTGATTCATCAAGGTATTACTGTGGCAACCCTGAAATCCATGACGTGCATTCTTTCATGATAAACTGTTGTGTGACTTGTAGGTCAAGAGTCTATTGGGGACAAGTGTAGAGTGGCTGTATTTTATCTTGCAAGCCTTCAATGCTGGAGATTTGACCAAATATCAAGAGCTTTGCGGTCAATACCAATCTGCTCTAACTGCACAGCCTGCACTTGTAGAGAACGAGAAGAAACTGTGGGAAAAGATAAACATTCTATGCCTCATGGAGTTGATTTTCAGGTAATGATTTGCCTTGAATTTTTGAAGGATCTTAAAAATGTTTTTTTGAGTTTATTTCCATGCGAGCTTGTTAGTCAGCTGGTGAATAGTTAACTTCTGACGATGCTATTGATTGTATTAGTACATTGAGGAGTACGGATATGGGATTAAGAACGCATAGATCTAAAATTTCTACTTTAAGTAGTCAGGAGTTGCTCCTATAATTCAAGATTTTCCTTCTACGCTTCCGTTGGTTTTTGTAACTCGTTAATGCCTGAGATTAGCTATAGCGTAGTAGGTGGTGGATCTACATATGATGGAGTGTCTGTGATGTTATATAATCTCTCCTAATAGGTTGGTTGGATTTTCTCTCCAGCCGCCCATCAGAGGAAAGGACTATCGAACTTAGTTTGATTGCTGAGAAGACCAAGCTGTCGCTGGATGAAGTGGAGCATCTTTTGATCAAGAGTCTGTCTGTACGTTCCTCATGACTATGTCAAATAAGTTTGTGTGTCGTAATTGTCCGTTCACAGCTCTGAACTCCTCACATATTAGGCTCTCAAATATTGCTTAGTTTGTGTTGACTGAGATGAACATCATATTCAGTGGTATGTAGAAGCAAGCTAAGAAGGTATTTACTTCCTAAAACTTTTGATACCTGAACAGGATTTATTTTCATTATTTCTCTGCCCGCTATCATTTTTTTCGAACAGAGAATCTCATTTAGGGTATTCTGCAGGTACATCTGATTGAGGGCGTTATCGATCAAGTCGATGGAACAGTGCGTGTATCATGGGTACAGCCACGAGTTTTGGGAATCCCTCAGATTAATGCATTGAAAAACAGGCTAGACAATTGGTTGCAGAAAGTACATACAACTTTGTTAGCTGTTGAAGCAGAAATCCCAGATCTTTTAGCTGTTTAAATTAGTTGCCACCTCTGGAATTGTTCTTCTTTTTTTAGAAATAGGATGCCAAACAAGAGGACTTGAGAGTATGTACTATTTTTGCCCTCAACCACAGCATTGAAGCCGCTCGGGTGTGGGTGGAGTTCTGTTCTACAGGAAATAAGATGTTCTCTGACGTTCATTCTTTAATGACTGTAATTTTTTGTTACTGCGTCATCACTTAGCCAGTTTTATGTGCACTCCATGTTTTGCCAAAAAAAAAACATTTGTTGAACTTAATAATTTCGTAAAACTCTAAAGTGTTACATGTCAAGAGCATCACAACCTCTTAGAAGGAACTAAATAGTACGTCAATTCCGTCATTTAAGAAAGTTGTGATACGTATATGTGTATGAATTCCAGTCTACTGTACATTCCTTTAGTAATTTGATGAATTACAAAAATTGTCATCTTTTTAAGTATTTTAAGAAGATGGGCATAAAACTGCCGACTTTAGTTATAAGAAAATGTAATATTGATATTATTATTGTTATTAATATCACCTTTTTCATCCTTATGTTGATGGATTGACATGTATATTGTATATTGCTGTTAATTAGTTATTACTTTGTGTGGTTCAAAAAATAATTAAAAAAATACAATCCCTAAATTTTTTGAATAAGACATTATAAAACTTGAATCCATCATATTTTATAGACATTTATTTTAAATGGAAAAAGTTGTTTGATTATAATATGGTCTTTTATTTCTATATTCACATCATTAAAGTTTGCATAGTATACACACAAGATAAAGTATTGATAGTGTTTAAAATAGAATTCTTTACAAATCTAAACTTCAATAAACCATTTAGCTCAGATACATCTTGGAATATTGCAATAAAATTATTTACAACAATTGTTATTGAATTTATAATTATAAAAAATTATTATTTTTATTTCTTTATATGAATAAGATCTATTAGGAGCAAAATAATACAAATATATTTACCATCTAATAAGTATAGAATAAAATATTGTTATTCATAACTTAGTCAAATATTACAATCTTGGAATCATATATCACAAAATTGTAATAAAGAACATTTTAAGATTATATTATAAGAATTAAATACAAGTTTTATAAGGATTTCTATTTATAATATAAACTATTAAAATATTTTATAAATTCCATAAATTTATTTTATGCAAAAAATGAGTTCATTAAAATTTACTTTCTAAAATATTTTGAAGTTTTAAAGTTGTAAAATATAATAATATCCAAGCATCAAAAGTATGTATATATTAGGAGTGGTAGGTGTAGGATTTTTGGATGAAGGTTTTCTTTGGTTCAATAATAAAACCTAAAAATAGGCTTAAATCCAAAAGTTGCTTGTGTTAGCTTACCTTCCAAATTCCAAAATTGCCAAAAACAAAACACCCTTTTTAAAATAATAACTTCTATTTATTTTATTTATATATTTCTAATACTTTTAATTATAAGATCTTGTTTCTTATTCATATTAAGATCAATCTACTATATCTTAGGTATTGAGATCATTGTATGTGGGAGATCATAATATTCAAAGTTGAGGGAAAAGTTTTTTTTTGGTGTTGCCTAAAAGGCATAGTGAGACTTGTGCTAAGCAAAATTCCTACTTGTAACTTCAAAATTCTTAGGAGATTTTATTTTCAAAGATATCCTTAAGTTGAGTACGTGCATGCAAAATCTTAGAGGAAGAAGACATGTACAACACCTTCAACTAAATTGTTTTCAAGTAGGTAGTTAAAAAAGTAGTAATAAAGAAATTAATTCAAAAAGTCATATTATTTTCTAAAACAACTTTACTCAAAAAATGGATGGTGGATAGAAGCACTTTTAGATGTTTGAGAAGTATGAATATATGTATATATATAATAATAATAATAATAATAAACTAAATTAATATAGATTTTGGAAGATCATGTATATCCATTAGCTCTCAAATGCACTAGATAGCTTCATATTAGATTAATATTGGATCTATTGCCTTGCAATATTGTTATTATATAGGTCCCAAAATTACCCACAATTATAGCCACCATGTGATTGGTGAGGCCCATACCAAAATTGTTCCAATTAGGGTCCAAATCCAAAAAACACCATAACCAATTTCAAAAAATATTTTTCTAAAATAAATTAGTGAAGCATGACATCCAAAAGATTTTCTATCTTCATTTTTTTTTTTTTTTTTTTTTTTTTTTTTTTTTTTAAATAAAAATACCAAAGTTTGATATTTCATATGAGATACTTGATACAACCTAAAGCTATTTTAACTTTTGAAGAGCTTTAGGATTTATCATACTCTTGATTGGTTTCCAAATTCCTCATAAGAACTTGAAGGCTACAATTAAACAGCTTAGATTTGATTATAATTTTCTAAATTTTAAGAAAATCAATAGTGCTTTTCTTGAATAATGTTATGAAGAGATCAAAGATAAGTGCAAGTAATTTTTGAGATCATCTTCAATTGTTTGCCTTGTTTCTAATTTCAGTCTAATATCCACAATGAGCCAATTAGAAATTCTATAACAATAGTTCTATCGTAAATAAGCCTCTTCATGGAGTCTATGTCAATAAGACAACAAGATCACACTTTTGAATGAGTTGTAAGAGACCTTGAACATGTCATAAAGATTAATAGTATCAAATTTTCTAGAATAATAATAGATAATACATCCACAAATAAGAAGCCATAAAAAATGTTGTTTTGGTAAGTTCATATCATTGTTTTAAAAATGTATATTCAATGATTTCCATTAATTAGCCAAAGACATCTTTGTGGCAATCAAGACTATAAAATTGGAATATACATAATCAAACTTTCTTCTTTGGTACTTGTTTAAGTATCTTCAATGATTTCTTTTTGGTATTAAAGATGGAGTGAAGTTCTATAATGGCCATTGTAGTATAAAGACTAAGCTCTCAAAGTTGCAAAAGTTTTACTTTAATCAAATGGGAATCTTTACAAAAATGAATAAAGAAAATTCTTAATTATGAATCCATTACATATGGTCTTGTATGTGAATGCAACTTTATAACCAGCAATGTAGTCAAAAACAATGATGAATTTATATAATTTACAAATTATACCATCATAACTCAATGATCCAAGCTTGATAATTTTTTCTAGTTTAAAATGTTGCTTGATAAATATAAGACCCCATTGCAATATTGGTAGGTCAATAGAGTTGCACGTACACTCTTACAATAGATTACAATTATGTTGTTTACGAGGGCTATATCTAGGACAACCTCCAAAAGAAACTTGTAAACATTTGGCTTCATCTATTCCAAATTGAAAAATTAGGTAAGTGCAAAAAAGATGTAAAAGATTGTCTTTGTTAAGACAAAATATTCTGTATTTGCTAAGACTTTAGTCAAGTGCAATTTTAATATTTTATCATAAATGTGAAAGATAAAGAAGCCATCAAAATGTGATTTATGAAAAGTAGCAATATGGGACTCTTTTTTAAAAATACCAATTAAAAGTGCAACCACACATGCTAAAGTCAATTACATAGAGTTAAGAGAAAGAGTTGAATTTTCCTCATTGTTGTTTTTTGAGTTGCATGAGTGACCAAACTTTACTTGAATTAGAAGATTTTTTTAATTTTAGAAAGGTTTTGTAGTGATGGATTTCAGCTCAAGAATTGCAATTACAATAAATTGAAGAATATAGGTAATGGTAGGCAATTAGATAGTAAAAATTATACCAATTATGTAGGTGGATAACTTGCACTGTTATATCATGTGGATGAGCTGTTAGATGTAGGCCAACTTGTGAAGAGTTACTTGTAAATTTGTAGAGAATTGGAGATGAAAAATTATTTTGTTGAGGGTTCAGTAGGTTGAAAGACACTTCGACAAGGATTGAGCAGTATAGAAGGTTGTTTTCTTCTTACATTCATTAACAAGAACTTGAAAAGCATATAGAATATAACTGGGACTTGAAAAACACACAAATATAATGATGTGACATTATCTTGGAATATAACCTTGAGGTTTGACATAGTTTTTTGTTAAACCAAAAATTGATTTAAAAAGGAAGAGCTACCCCTGGTATATATGTATATGACATGCAATGTTTTATACATTTTAGAATTCTTTTTAAGTCATTAATTATAAATAATAAATGAAATCGATATTTTTTGCAAACATTCATCAGTACCTTGTGTGTTGTATAAAAAATGCACAAGTTAGAACTGACATCCGAGAGTTGGGGCTTCTTTGAGAAACCAGCTTCAAAAAGTTGGAAGTATTCTGTGTAAAAAGAATCGATGCGGAGGATGGTTCCTGGCATTACAAACTTGTAGAAGTTCTCATTTGTATCAATTCATGAATTTTCTAGCTTCAATACACTTCTATACGACAGCAATTCTCAGTATCTCAAATCATCTCATAACTAATTTATCTAAACCATAACTTGATATAGAGCTGTAGCATTGTTACATTGACACACCATCGACATGGAAAGAGGCTTCTTTATCAATGAAACACTTGTTCCGAACCTCCGCTAAACGCCGAAAGACAAGGTGTTGAATGTATCTGGTCCAGCTGTAGCTTCGAATAGAAGCCAGTTTTGCTAAACTGTCATCCATGCTTTAATCGGCAGCTGTATACCCAACTTGAAGGTACACAACTTGTGCTAAATAGCCATTCGATCACAACGCAAATGAAGTGCGATGCTACATTGCCAGGCTCATTCGGATCCCGCCTTGGAATCGCCGCGCTTGCCAGTGTTTGTGTGTCTAGTAGACACAGGCCGATCTGGGCTTATCCACACTGCGTCAATGTATCAATCAGATACGTGATATATGATATATGAATGCTACTTTGGCAGGGGATGTCAGTCTCCGATCACGAAAACGCCTGATGAGGGGCGCGTAAACACCAGCGCGGTGGCGTGAGGGTCTCCGGATCTCTGAGCGGTTCTAGAATTCAATACTGCGTGGCGTGAGGATTCGTCGGCAGTGGTGTCGAGCTGCGTGATGTCTTCTAACAGAAGCACGACCTCGTCCATCTTGGGGCGCCGCTCAGGGATGGAGTCCACACATGCTAATGCCAATTGCAGCATCTGCTGCATCTCCTCCTCTGAGTTGTATCGCAAGAGTTCCGCGTCGAACACTTCCGAGGTCCACTTGTTGCGTACGATGGACAACACCCAATTTGTTAGGTCCTGTCCGGGAGAGTCCCCACTCCTGTTGGATTGTATCGGCGGCTTGCCGGTCAAAAGCTCCAGCAAGAGCTGCAAGTGCTCAGTGGGGATAGAAGAGTGTTAGTTAAATGAGGATGCTCACGGGCAAGACTAAGGTAGCGATAATGAACCACGCACTTTCATAAGGAAATGTGAGTTTGGTTAGAATTGAGGATGTGCTATAATACCTGGCAATCATGTAATAATTATTTTAGACTTAAGAGTATTGTTTCAACCAGTATTGTATTAAGTCCTACATTAGACCTATGTTGAACAACGAAACCAACTCCTCTAACGTTTTTACCCAACTCTGTGTTATAATGTTTTCTTAAAATCGATTTAGTGTTGTGCGTAAAGCATCCCTGTTCAAACATGGACTCCAAGTAAGCTGCCTGGAATGAATGATCTTCAGCTCAGTCGACAGGTTTCCAGTCGGTTAGTGACTCTTAATTCTAAAACTGAAAATATTTGGACGTTGGTTTGAATCCAAGAATCTCAGTTGTTCTTACCACGCCGAAGCTGTACACGTCGGACTGCGTTGAGTTTTTGCGGATATCGGTGACTTCTGGCGCTCGGTATCCACCTAACCCTGAAGCGCTTACATTTACCGGAGTTAGATCTGTCAGGCAATAGTCGGAAACGCAAGGCTCCAAATCGCGATTCAATAGCACGTTCGTCGACTTGATGTTCCCGTTCACCAGGTTGACGCTCTCCTTGTGCAAGTGCGCCACCGCCCTCGCGCAGCCTAACGCTATTTTCTCCCGGGTGACCCAGTCCACTGGAGTGCGATTGCCGCTTGTGTCACCTACGACAAAGGTCACATCAGAATTTCGTGAAAATCGCCCTCGATCTAGACATCCAGGCGATGTGACGCAGTACATTGAAACAGCAACAGGTGGAATCTGAAAGGATCGGAATCAGTACCATGGAGAAGAGCATGCAAGCTTCCTCTAGGAACGTAATCGGCGACAAGCAGCTTCTCATCCTTGGAGAAGTAGTATGCTCGCAACGGCGCCAGGTTCTTGTGACGCAACCGACCCAGCCTCCTAACATGTGTCTCAAAATCTCTCCGCTCAGTCACAAAAACCTTGAGCCGCTTCACAACCACGGAAAACCCCTGATCCAATTCTGCTCTGTAGGACGTTCCCACCCAACCCTTACCAAGCACCTCAGCCGAAGCGCGCAGTAGCTCGTCCAAGCGAAACTCTGGCCGCTTCTTGCTGTTGCTAAAGAATATTAGTTCACTACGCTGGATTTCGCATGAAATTCGCACCGCGTAGCTGTCCCTGAAGTCTTCCTCATCATCGTCTCTGTCTGAATCATATAGCCTCACTAGCTTGCCTGCGTGCGACTTCAAATTTAAGTTGCCGTTGTGGCGTGGACGGCAGAGTGCGAAGAAAGCAACGAGAATTACAACTCCGCAGGCGCCGATTATGATACCAACCATACCTGCGGCCATCACCTTCTTGTGCTCACGATTCGTTGTTTCAGATATTGTTGTCCCAATGGGTGCAGCAATGGCAAAACTGGGTTCAGCTGCAGGAGCGTCTGTGGGAGAAACTGCAGGCAAAAACGACTCAGGACAAGGCATCCTTGCTTGCGCCCCGCACAGCCCTTCATTGCCATCAAAGCTCTCGGTCGGAAACTTATGCAACGATGCGGGGACAGACCCCGAGAGATTGTTGTTAGCTACTGAGAACCTAACCAGATTTGCTAAAGTTATCTCTGGAATTTGACCAGAGAAAGAATTGTTTTCGAACTCGAGGACTATCAAAGACTGGAGCGCATTGATGGAAGCTGGGATTGGACCAGTGAAGTTGTTGGATGCCAGAGTGAGGAGGCTTACACGAGGCCAATAGCCAGTGAAGTCGGGGAGTGTGTCGGAGAACAGATTGGAATTCAGAAAGAGTCCCTGCAAGCGAGTGCATCTAAGAAGATCTACAGGAAAGGGACCCGTGAGTCGGTTGTGGTGCGGGCTCAGGACCCGAAGATGGTCGAGATCGCCGAGTGTGTTGGCAGGAAGGGAACCTGTGAGTTAGAATCCGGGGATATGAAGATACGCAACGCGATTCTGGTGGCATTCAACTCCAATCCAAGTGCAAGAATTCGTGCCCGACACCCAGGGGAGAAGATTATCAGACGGATCCACCGCAACTTTCAGCTTTTCCAATGCTTGTCTATCGGTTTCTAAGCTTAATTCTTTGGCATGCACCGTAGCAATGCGACTGAACATTATCAGTATACTGAGGCCCAAGAGTACTAAATATTTGACCTCATTACTCCTATCCGCTGATGCCATCACAGCTAACAGCTCCAGCGCGAGCATCTTACATTTCTCGTGTCATGTTCATTGCCGTATTTGTAAAATCAGCAGCTGCATGTACTTGACGATTGAAGACGGTGACGCGCTCACCAAACCTTAAGAAAAAATCACTACGCAACCATTCCTTGCTGCTAAATTGTCTACAATGAGTCTCCTGCACTGAGCGACTCATCTGCGTAGGGTACCCTAGTGTGAGTGCATACTCTCGAGATTACTTCTGAAAATGGCGCATCGAGGGAAGCATGCCACTCCTGAGGACATCAGTTTCCGATTAATCGACGACACTAGTGTTTGGTAATGGATTTTTAAAACGAATAGAGAAGCCTATTACGCAGCTCCCATCCATAACTGACAAGGAACCGGCGTCAGCGAATGTGCCCAACCCAACCGTCCAAATTCCTGAAGGATGCCACTCCATGTTACGCTCTCAGCCTCATCCCCCAAATCTCAGAACCTATTCCACCAGCCCATAGTCTTTCTGCAAAAGACATGAATCTCAATTGTCTCAATTCTCTAAATTAAACCATGGCTCGAAACTACCTGCTGGTGGGCGCCATCTTCAAACAGCTTTCATCTCAAGTGGTATGAATGCGAGTCATCGGCCAGAGTGGCAGCAGTTGGTTCTCCGACGTGGATTAATCACTTCCTCATTAGATGCACCAGTTGCTTTGGTGATTACATGGTGCAGCACCTTGAATGGAATCAGCACGTGGCTCTAACGAAATGTTCTTCGGCGAGTCATCCTGATTTAAAATATGAAGTGAGCTGCACATATCTATACTCGGAAAAGCTGACTAACTAGAGGAGTGGTGGTGTTGTTGATCATCCCATCATTTCACGAACTGCAATGCTGGGAACTTCTGAGACGTTCCATTGTGCAAACAATCTTCATCATAATTACACAGCATCTTTTCTTTTTCTTTTTCTTTTTTTTTCCTGTTCTGCTGAGCTTGGTTTTCCTGCCTTCTTGCAGTCATGAAGCCAAATCTAGGGACGCCACAGCGAGCTTGTCTCTAGCGGCAACATGACCAGGATAAATCCATTTTTTTTTTTTTTTTTTTTTTTTTGCATCTGCGGCTTGATTCTTCTTCGCTGCCATTTCATCATTCCGCTCTACCATTGCTCAGTCGACGAAGGCTGTTTTTCTGAAGCTGAAGGGCTGGACGTGTGTTCGTCAGAGTGCAGAATTGCCCACTTGTTGTGCTGTGCAGTTATAGACTTGTTCCATGATTGTTGCGTTATTTTTCAATATGTTTTTCACTTGTGTAATCAGTCTTCATCTTCAATGTTTCGTGTTGAATTCCGCTCAAGTGAACCGCGACGCATAATTTTACTTGATTAAGCTGATTTGTTCAAGTTGAAATTACACTCTGTGATGTTTTCTCCAGGGTGGACATCTCATTGTTTCTAATTGAATGTTGCGTCGCTTCAAAGAAAATTCATGCCCTTTTCTAGAACTGTGAAGTGTCAAAGTTGATAACTAAAGCTATTTTAATGATTCATTCTTTTATAAAGTTATTACATGGTGGACAATCATTCTAGGCAATTAATTCTTGCTATTTGAAATATTATTATCCGGTGAGTACGTTCACTGATCGTTTACCTGTGTTGGTGGTGCCAAATGATACCCAATAGTCAAAATTTGAGAGTCGATATTTTCTTTTTATATATATATATATATATATATATATATTGCATCTACATTTTTATTTTATTTTATCAACGCGTTAATAGAATCCAATCTCTATTCCAAAATTGACCATATTTTTCTGCTTCTTTTTTAGTTAACCTCTGGATATTTTTGCTATCTGATTCAAACATTATATACTTTACATGCCTAAACTGTGATTCTTAAAGTAATTGATTTGTAAATTTTAATTTCATTAAAAGTTTTGTTAATTGTTAAGGTAGTAAATCTTTTACTTTTTCGAATTAAGTAACTTTATACCATTTGCAGTGCAAATGAGTATGTAGTAGTTATTCAATTCTAAAAAAATTGTTGCTATAAGTCATCTAGTTAGAATATAGTCTAATAGAAGTTTTTCAAAAAAATAAGTAAATTTCTAATGGCTTTAGTTTATTGTAAAGTATTATTATTTTTAGAATAATTTTCAGCAGATAAAACGTCCTAAATTTGATTTCTTAAAGTATATAGATCCTTCAACATAATCTTTGTAGTAAAATCAAAACAACTATGAAGGTTTATATTTGTCTACTTTTATATTTTTCTAATCTTAAAATATTAAATTCCTTTATGTATTCTTGCTTAACTTATGTTTAATCTTATAAATAACTATTTTATAGATTAAGACTTTGTTTTAAAAAATGATTTAATTTTTTATTATTAACTTTAATATATATATATATATATATATATATATATTTTTTTTTTATTTAAAAAACATTTAACTAATAAGTACATTATATAATTATATTTTATAGTTCAATACTAATAATTCTTAGGATTTAAATATTTTTATACTTTTGTATATTTTTTGATTTTTTAATAATCTATGTCGTTATCTTTTTTATATTAGTGTTTATAGGAGGTCAAATTGTTCTACCTTCTTATAATCCATTCAAAGAAGAAAAAACAAACCATCCATAACTTTAATGCCTTTATAGAAGATGGGACTATTTTATTTAGATAAATTTGATGTTATTCGATATTCAAAATTATCTTCTATTATTTGTTAAAACTTTACCTAATTTTGGCATAGTATATATTTAAAAAAAATCTTTTAAAAGATTAATTTAAGATTAAACACTATCTAAAAGTTGTGATGGACCTTATTAAAGAAATTATGGCTAAAAAAAAGAAACTTAAGAATTTATTTTATCTTTTGATATATATAGTGTGGAGCAAATATTTGTAGGAAACCATAAAATCTATGCTGATAGATGATTATTTTATTATTATAGATTTAAAAATTATATCCAATTATTATAAATAATTTAATGAATTTTTTCTTTTCGTTTTCTTTTAAAATACATATATATATATATTTATATATATATTAAATAAATATAAAATCAAAAGTTAATAAAATCTTGCTATTCTTGCAAATGTTGAAAAAACTATTAAATTTATAGTAGGCTAGTTTAATATTAATAATAAAACAATGTCAATAACAAAATAATAAACAAAAGATTGTGGCTTATAAATTTTCTTTACTTGTAATATTGAGATGTTTTTTATTTTTATTTTTATTGATCTAAGCAATAAATAAAACAATCATCGATAAAAGATAAAAGATGGAAGAATAAAAAAATAAAAAATAAATTCTCTAACATTCTCATAGATGAGTGTATTAAAATTATAGCAACTAAAATTTCTTCTAAATTGCAATATTTTTAGATCAATTGCAAATTCTTCTCTAATTTCAGAAAGAAATAATAAAATTCCCTTCTATAGGTCTTGTATACAAATATATACCTTAAAACACAACACTCACCACAAATACATAACTTAATTTTATGATAGAATGTCTTCCCTCTAAACACCAAAACTATGTTGTTTATGTGTCCCACCTAAAACACTTTTCTAATTTGTTTTGTGCTACAAGATAAAAGTTTGACCTAATTCATTCTAAAAACAATTATGTGAAATGTGGTCACAACTTCCATTCTATTGCACTCAAGGGGCTCACATGAATTAGAAGAGTTTTCATTCATACTACAAACTATCCATTTCTAATGGCATCCAAACTTGTTATCCCACAACTCTTGATATTCCTTTTGCAAAATGATTGTCAAAATTGGCGGCTCTCCAGCATAGATCCTGTTTCCTGACCTCAATCAAGAAACTCAGTATTACCTCTCCATAGCTTCGCACATCTAATAACTTACATCATTTCTGTCTAGGAAACTTGGAAATGCAAAAGAACTCATCCCGAGGTCTGAGCAAAACTCTAAACCGTGAAAACTAGCCAGCAGAACAGGAGTGGATTTCCGCATTTCGATTGCTCAATTTCTAACTTTCTCGACATGTTAGAAGTGGTTCGAGGTTGCAGCTCTCAAGATTCGTCATCGTCTTTCTGTCATTCAGAGTTTGCGTGGTCTGTAATGGAATCGGGAAGGCAGTTATAAACTGATTAGATTTCATACTGAACTATCTTGGTTTCTCGTTTCTCCACAGGCTGATAGGTTGTCCTGCATGTATTGCAATTGCCTGCTGTGTAAATGAGCTACCGAAGCATCCAAATCAAGAGGGTAGCTGTTGAATTAAAAGTCGACTCGGAAAATCCAATGAGTATCCAAGGAAAGTTGGCACCGTCCAGCATGCCGACTTCGGGGATGGAGTGGACACACTGGTGTTTCACAGCTCCGACATTGTGCGCTTCGTGGTTCATCCAATTCAACATTCGATTCTTCAGATTGTGATAATTGGAACGAAGGTAACGTGACTATTACAAATGCTAATCACTCACGTGAATTTTCATAGTTCCACTTTCAACGGGGCTTTAATCACTGGGACTACACAATCACATGTTATGGACATCTTCCATCACCCTTGTGATCACATTAATAATCCGCTCTGAAAATTCCTGTGATTGCAATTCATTCCCTCCATGGCGTCAGTACAGCGTTCAGAAGTATATTATACCGTCAATGAAATTTAGCATTACATATTCTCCCTCATTCTCTCTGCGTACTTTGTGCTATTTCTCTGAGCAAGCTACACATCTTCACTATGACGGGAGGCAATGGATCACGTAGTTCGAGACCCTCATTGTTGCTAATTTTCATGCTCATTCCAGTCTTTGCAGCTACTGCGCACGATGCTGTTCATGGAGACGATCGCTCATCGCTCCCCCGGCAGTCTCCTCGGGCACCTGATTCTGCTCATGAGATCTCAGGAGAGCCAGGAACCAATTTCAAGTACGGGAAGATGACATTTGACGAGGCTCTGCACCACGGCTCAGATTCTGACGAACCTACCACGTGCACGTGCACTTGTTATCGAGACGTACCTGAGTCTCCGAAGACTCCATTACAAAGTTCACCCATGCACAGGGATAGGTCACCTCCTCCTGCTCCATATCGCTACTCTCCGAGCCCCGCTTACAGTACTCCTGCACCACCGACCGGCAGCACGACGTCTCCAGTGACTTTCAACTCACCACCCCCAACGCCATACTATGATATTCCAGCTTACAACAAACCCTCTCCTCCTGTAGTAGCTGCGCCAGAAACCTTCGTTCCTCCTCCACCGCCATCGCCAGTTTACTGAGGTGCTGGGGGTGGTGAGTTGCTGTCCCTAACTTGCTCCCTTTTCTTGTTATGGCTGTGGTATTTCATCATGGGTTCCATGGTTGTTGATTAACTCCACATTGTCTCACAATTAGTGGAGAATCTAATTGCCTTGAAAAAACAACCGCATGTAAAAATTAATTCTAGTTGATGTGAGTAGAAGATGTTGCAATGATTCGATTCAATCAAGTGCCGATTTATTCTTGCTCATAGTGAAATCGATTTTTTGCAGGAAGAAGCGACCACGCTCCTGAAGGAAGGGCAGCGCATCGCTAAGAGAGGAGATGAACACATCGTTTGCAGAATCCGTGTCCAGTGTTCAGTTCCTGGTTCCATCGCGTGATCCTGCATTGTAGTTTTGACTTCATGTTCATGAGAGGCTTCCTCGAAAAATTCAGAATAATACGGATCATCAGCATAGACGTGTTTTGTCAGGATTTGTTATGCCTTGAATAGATACATTCGCATTAGCTCAGCGTGACGGAACTCTGTACTCTTGCATGTGACAGCATTGAAGCTACTTGTTATTTATCGCACATGTTTCACCTCACGACTCCATTTCGAAAACCTTCAAGTTAACGCTAACATGTTATGACCAATAGCTCTAATCCAGGAGCATGCACGCATCAAAAAGCGTTCTTAAGAATATACAGTTAAAGAAGCTGTCCGGTTACAGAGACCGCAAGGTTTACTTCATCAACCTCATTTCGTAGAAATATTCTACCAATATCAGGACCTTCAACATATCCTTTTTAAAGAGGAACCGAGAACGAACGAATAGTCCGCAGTCTGGCTCCATCCCTCCGATGCAGAAGCCATAAATAGAGCCATAGCCAACTTCCCGATCAGCTCTAACGCCCTCTCCCTTCTCACAACCTTTCTTCGCCACAAAATACTTCGCCTCATCGATTCGTCCCTCCACTTAGCTAGAGCTAGCTTATAAAAAATAGTGAATCTAGACTTGATGGTGTCACAAACCTTCGAGCTGAATCTCAAGCTGCAACGAAATCGCGGTGGATCGATCGGTGCTTTGATGAGCGCGATCACCGAACGAAGAAGGCGAGCTGGTGCAAGGCTATGACTAATTTATTTCATTCATAAATATTACATCACGCCACACTAAAATCTACAGCATGTGCGATATATTTATTTGCAAATAGTATACCATATAAGGCTAATTCCAAACTAATACATGGGTGATTTCACTTCAATGCTATATGATGTTAATAATTCAATAAAATATAACATAATATAATTGCGGATTATATATATATATATATATATATATATATAGTTAATTGATTTAGTAAAAGTGTATTATAGTATAGTATGGCTCTAGCTGAATTGAAAATACTTGTATCAACATGAGGGATGAAGATCAAGCTTATCAATTCTTTACAATGATTGTGTTGTGAAAATTAGTCTACTCTTACAAGATTAAATTTCATTTTCTGTTAAATTCTACTACAAGTAATTTCAAAGTTATCTTCAAAGTTGAAGATTTATTGTTGATTTTGTTGTACAACCATTAGCTGATTGAATAGAAGCTGTATTAGTGAGATGTAAACATGTTTTTATTAGAGCTTGCAAATATCAGATTATAATTGGTTCTTTCAGCAAATATATGTTACAGAATTGGCTCGTTGAGTTAGATTGTAGAAAGCTTTAAATTATTCTTTATTGAACACAATCTTTACAATTAACAGTAATTTTTATATCTATTTGTAAGACTAACAAACTTAATTTTTTTTTTATGATTATATACAATGTTTTTAAAAAAAGATATCTTGTTGCTTCGTTTATAATTGAAGGCATAAAAAAATTCATCACTATGTACAATTACATTCCATATCTTAAATGATATGCAAAAGAAAATAAAGAAGAACCCAATGTTCATTTGAATCAAAATATAAAATTAATGATACAAAGTTTCTTTTTGGTGATAGTCTTGGTCAGCCCTATCATCAGTATAATCTCAAATTATAAATACAATAATATAAAAAAAAGGAAGAGAAAGATATTGGTAAGGCAATTGTTGCTGAATGTTGGAGCTGATACAAAATAAAAACAATTCTTCTGCCACTACTACATCACAAATGCTTTGAAACTGGGTTTGAGTACACACACACATCAGACGCAAACAATGTTTTAGGGTTCACAACCATTCTTTGTCAATTGATTGATTAATTCATTCATGTTTTCAGTGTGCACAATACACCACAGAGTGCTACACAAACATCCTTTGTTTTGTGAACCCTCTCAAAATTAAGAGCTGTTGGCTCTTTCCAATGCATTTCAGGGTTTTATTCTCAAGTCAAGTTCATTTTCACAATGGATTTCATATCTTCACCCATCATACATAAGAAAGAAGGAGAGAAAGATAGATGGATGGATGACCTCTATAATACAAATTTCAACAAGTGGGTAAGTTGCATAGCACTAAAAGTTTGATTTCAAAAATAAAATAAAATAAGGTTTGTTCACGGCAATGATTTGTGATTATTGTAATTGTATTTACAAAATTAAATAATAGTAATAATAATTAATTAGTTGTTCAAAAATATACAAAAAATTCTTTACATACAATGTATTTAATAAATCCCAAGAAACATATTTAATACATTTTTGTAAATGCAATGATTTCTCTAAAGATATTTTCTTATCTTAACCAAAAAAAAGTTAATACATCATTACTTGATTGAAGATTTTTCAATTTTTTTGATTTTTTAAGACTATCCAATAATTTGTTTTTAGCTTCTACAAGAGAATAAAGTCAGTTGTTGTGTTCAAATTCTCCTATGCTATCTGTTTTTTGAAAAAGCTTAATCAATTAAATTTTACTAATTATACCATATTTAGTTAAATTTAATTACTTGCACCAATTTACCAATTAATTGAATTAGTACGCTGGTATGTATTTAATTAAATTTAGTTAGTTAAATTTAACTAATTGTACATGTCCTAGTCCCAACCTTAGGCACATACTTCTACCTGACCTCTACAAGTGAATAACCTGCCTAAAAGAATACCCAACCACTGGTCTCAGCCATATTCAATTAAACAAGTTATATTGTACTAGGATTGGGTTGATAAATATGAAACTTATATATGCATATATATATATATATATATATATATGCATACATACATACATACATACATACATACATAAGCTACACAAAAAATTATGAATAATTGTTTATTTAAAAGAGCATTGTTTTTAAAATCACATATTGCATGTTTTAATTTCAAGACAAAAAACTCTCATGAAGAGAAAATAAAATTTGGTAGAAAAATAATTTATAATAAGGTCTAATTAAAGATCAATTATGAAGAAAAAGACTCAAAATCAATGCACTAAATTCCATGAAAAGGTCATAAGATGGAAGGGTGAAACATTTCTGACTTATAATGATCAAAGTGCTGTCATGAACACCACAAGGGTTAGATTTAAAACAAGTGAAAACAAAGCACAACAATAAAAAGCTCAATAAATATCCTGTTTTACAATCATATATTTTCAATGTAGGCCACATACATACATACATACATATATATATACATGCCACTTAAATATCATATGCAACATTCATGCACCACCAGAATGTAAAAATTAATATTGCAGGAAATTTAACACAACATTCTCAGTTAGCAGTTATTCTATATCAGAAATGATGCATACCAGATCTGAGGAACTCCTGGTTCCAGTTTCAACATGGACCCTTATTCTGATAAGCATATCTGATACCAGCTGATACCACTACTGTTCCGGCGTTCAACGTTCCCGCGTGTTCCCATCTGTGCACAACCTTTTCGAACATGTTCGCATATTGTTGCTCCCCTAAGAACACAAAATCAATAACTCAATTAATTTTTCTTTCTCCTTTAACTCTTTTCTTTTCATTTCTTTTCTTTTTCCTCTATTCCTCCTGATCCAACGCCATCCATTGAATTGATCTAATCTGCTTGGGCTAACACTGTTCATCCATATTTACAAGCCTTCATTCATTCATCCATATATATATATATATATATATATATAGATATTCTTACCCATCTCAACAACTCATAAGAATGCACACGAGATCATGCTTGCTGGCTTGCCACCTCAATCCTATTTAAATTATTTTGTAACCAATAGATACCGATTAAACATATAATATAGTAACATTCAAGACTGAAGGAAAAATAGTGAAAAATATTTGTTTGTGTTGTTTAATTTTGAAAAAATACAACCATGGGACCACAAATACTTTTCATGCTCCACAATAATTTTGTGACACCAGTTGAACTATCCAGATATATTTGATTTTTGAAGGGTTTTCGTGCTGGATATTTTAATAAAATAGAACAAAAAATGGACAAAATCGTACCTGCCAAATGTTTTCAACTAAGTTGGTTTTATGGATTCTAGCTGTAGATTACCATGAACAATTTGAAGAAACATTTGTAGTATGTAGGCTAATCCTCTAAAGTTGCTTATGGAAATATAGTTTACTTTTTTCAATGATATGCATGTGTGCTGAATGCATGAAATTAAAAATGGTTAAGGATATTTGAAATACACAACAGGAAAACATTTGGTTTATAAAGAAGATTTCTTGAAACAAAACATAAAAATAAATTCCATTGAGTGATTGATTCTTTTTAATCCAGAGACATTCACTTTCACCAAAAAGATAATAAAACGAAAGGAAGAATTGAACATTTATCTATTGTAACACATTTTTGGAGGTGCTGGGGAACATTCCATGTTCACACTTATCAACAGCGCTGGAGAACAATATCCTACTAAGTTCCCGAGCTCTCATTTATAGCTGACCACCTGACAAGCAATGTTCTCAGGGACCCAAAGAAGGGCGTTTCTGATTAGAACAAGTGGGTACTTATCTTCGTTTTGCCTCGTTATAGTATAGAAGAGCACAGAAAGGGAACTGGGAACAGAAGCAAGGGAACTTGAATGGGAACCAACAGCCTTCACAACTATAGGTGGGTTCCAATGCATAATTCCCAAACCCACAGGTTCTCATAAATATCTAGTCGACATATTTTACGATCACAAACATGATATTTTATTCATTATACTTCTATGTATGCTGTAAATATAAGTATTATAAAAAAAAATGTTATAAAGTCCATATTGGCTTGATTTTAACAAATTTATTTATTTATTTATTTATTTTTACATTAAAAAGATAAAGAACTAATTTATTTAGACCAAATCTATCATTGAGATAGTTTTTTTTTTTTTTTTTTTTTTTTTTTAAAAGAAAAGAATACATTGTTAGCATTGAACTGTATCTATTAAAGCACTTTATAATTATATACATAATAGATGTTGAGAACGAAGTTTATACATTATTATACTTCAAAAAAATGAAAAGAACAAAAAATGAAATAGTTCACAATTTAAATAAAAGTATTAAAAAAAATTCAATCTAAATGATACGATTTTTGTTACCAAGAACTATTAATAGATTGTCTAGCATTGTCAAATTTTTAATTAAAAACCAAATCATATAATAAATTTATTTTATGTAATTGGTGATATTATAAATAATTGCATCAATGTTTATTTTATCTAACTGGTATTTTTTTTAAAATAAATTAAAAATAATTATATCTTTCAACACTCACTTACATACAACTCATTTGAAGATTCTCATATAAATATATATGCGGTAACTCAGGAGTATGTGTTATATGTATATTTAGTAAATAAAAACTTTTATCCTCTCAATTCCAAAGTAGCAACAAAATAGATGGTGATAAGGCCAGCCATTCCAACCAGCGGAATTACACTTAAGGAACACAACCCCGACTGATAACCGCTCCGTCCAGTCAATCCATAACCGTGTTCCATCGCGAACGATGAACCAAGCGGTCGTGGAACCACGAGAATTGATCTTAGCACAACCGCGCGAGCCGGGACCCATGACCGAGAATATGAGCTGCTGCTGCTGGCTAAGGCGCTCGAATGCGGAAAGACGAAGCAGTTTGTCGTTGCCGGGTCAAGCAACGGTGACGACTCCAGCGAGCTGGGAAAGGCCCAGCGAGATTGTGATCGTGATCGGGATCGTCACCATCATCCCAGAATATCGCACCGAAGCCTGGCCGGATTAGAACTTGAGAAGATTCCATGCGGTGGGTGGTGGCATCAGCAATCGGGCAGCCTGTTCGTGTCGATCAGGTCGGATAGATCGCGTTGGAACAGGCCAGAAATAAATTTGGGGCAAGCACATCGGGCGATGTAGATAGGGAGTGGTGTGTAAGAGGATATCGATGTGGCTGGGTCACTTCGGTTTTGGGAGAGTCAGACCCGAACCTCATAAAGTTATCGTAAGTTTGCACAGGTAGCAGACTACAGGGTGGTGGTGTTTGTGTCGATCGCCGCTGCAACTGGGAAAGTTCAGTCGCGCTTGGTACGAGTCACTGTATTGAGATTGAAGGAGAGGGGAGTTGAGAGGTAATGAGTGAGAGAGCTGGTATAAGGATCAGGAGGTGCTGGTGGTGGATGGTGTTCTTGGTGGGGGTGCTCATGGTGGGAATTCAGTACCGGCTCCGATTACCTGTCTATATTCTCTAGGGTGATCGTGTTGGAATAAACCAGTTGTGTGATTAATCAAGTGAGGTTTTGAGCAAAGCTTTGTGCTGGGGAGATTGTCGTTGTTGTGGCGCAATGGCGCAAGCGCACAGCATGATGCAATGTTCCTGCGGGAGTGCCTTTGTTGCCTCAACCAGTCGGGTGAGGCGAATAGGCGGTTTATCGGGCGGTTTGGGAGCGCCGACGCAGAGGAGGCTGTTAAGCTCTGGTGATGATAGTATTTTTATTTCTGTGGAATCGTCACGATGCTTACGCGTGTCGCATGGCTTAGCTCCCTCTGTCCACCGTCTCGCCACGCTTCGATATGAAGCGAGTGATTTTTCAAAGCCCTCGACGGCATGTGCTTCCGCAGCGAATGGCAGCATGGGCAATGACACCATGGTTGTGATGGGCCACCAAGGCGCAGGATTTCAGCAACTGGAGCAACCGTGGGAGGGACGTGCTGGAGCAGAGAAGGAGAGCAGGAGTAGGAGAAGTCCTGTGGTGGAAGTGAATGAGAGCAAAGGCGAGCACTATTCGTCGAGCAGTACTTCCGAGCAGAAATTTTCGGCTTTGAATACTGCAGAGTGGGTTTCATCAGGCGGGCAAGTGGGTTCGGCGGATGCGAGTAAGAGCAGTATGAAATGGAACATGCTCCTCAGCACGGAAGCGCTAGAGGATGCACACCTCTTCCGCGCCTCCAGCGTCACTGACGCTCATGTCCTCCGTAGAAAGGGTCGACTCAAAGAGCAAGATGGGCTGATCGAGTTCATCATCTCAATGCACCACACGCACTCGCCGTTCCAGGTGATGGAGAAGGTGGAGCGTTGGGTGCGAGAGCACGTCGCGGATCCCAATCGCTCCACGCTCAAGCGACTCATTCCCAACTTGGGCCCCCGGTTCCACACCCCCTTACCCCTCGTGCGCGCACTCCACGAATACGACGAATTCGCCTCTCTCTCCCGGCGCAAGTATGTGCCCCCAAATTTTGCCGAGGTCCGCCATGTGTTAAATATCGCTCAGGTGCATGCCATTGCGGAGAAGCTGCAACTCATCACATTTGATGCAGACGGGACAATATATGCTGATGGGCACCACATTCGCGGGGACAACAAGATGATCGGCCACATCATTAAGCTCATGCGCGAGGGAATTAACGTCGCCATTGTCACTGCAGCCGGATATCCAGGCAACGCTGAGAAGTTTGAGGGTCGACTGGCGGGCCTCCTGGATGCGTTTAGGGAGCTTGAGCTTCCCCAGAACGTCACAAAGCTCTTCCACGTAATGGGAGGCGAGTGCAACTATTTACTGGGCGTGAATCCGCATACTTACAAGCTGGAATTTGTGTCCGACGAGCTTTGGAAATCCTCTGACATGTTGGCCTGGGGAGAAAGTGATGTCAAGGAGTTGCTGGACAGCGCAGAAAGATCGCTGAAGTCCGCCGCCGCGCGGCTACGTGTTCCTGTCGAGATTGTGCGCAAGCCTAGAGCAGTGGGCGCAGTACCCAAGGATCATACCATCTACGAAGTTCTAGAAGAGATGGCGCTCACCGTGCAGATGCAGCTCATGCAGTCAGGGCTCCCGTTCTGTGCTTTCAACGGCGGAAACGACGTCTTCGTCGATGTGGGGAACAAGTCTGTTGGGCTCCAAGCTCTCATGAAATTCCTCAACAAAAACTGCTGTGAGACTCTGCACGTTGGAGACCGCTTCACAGTTAGCGGTAACGACATGGCAACTCGGTCCCAGTGCTCCATCCTCTGGGTGGCAAACCCAGAAGAGACGGCCTTCTTCGCTCGACTCTTGTTGCGCGACATTCGCTTGGCGAAGCTGAATCACTACATCGAGTGAGATTCCAAATTCTGAATCTCCATCCATGACCTGATTCAGCTGCCATCGATCTTTTGTAGGACTTTTTGTAAATAGAAATCAGCTGCGAAGACGGTCCAGCGACCCCCGTAGACTGAAATATCAGTTGCGATGCCAATTCATTAGCCCCCGCAGACTGAGAATTGTGTGGCTTTCATTGAATAAGGTAGAATTGTATCCTGTTAGTCCATCGTAGTAGGGAAACCATCAACCAAACTTTCAGTAGATTCGAGTCTTCGACGTTCTGTCAGCCGCCCTTTACGCAAAAGTTTTTGATGTCGGAGCAAAATTTTACTGCCAAGATAAATCAAGTACCATCTCACAAGAATAAAGTGGTGATCCTTGTCAATTCCATCGTTTGTGTTTCCAACTCCGGGGTTCATTGCCACAGTGCACCGATTTTTTTTCTTTTTTCTGTGAACATTATCACTAAAACAAAACCTTCAAAAAACAATTGCGATTCCCAAAAAATTTCACTACAAACGCGTTGCCATGTTGCAATATGCTTCATGGGTGACAAACATGATGGTTACGGATTGATTGGTCACGCCGACGGCATCTGCTACGAGCAACATGTTGTCTTCTGTTTAGAATGCACACACCACAGTCTGCTGTTTCACCATATTTTCCTTTCTAACGTCAAGCTCAACACTCTCTTTGCAATATACCAAAAGTAATTGCACCTTAGTTATGAATGCAATCACCATCTTTGAATCCAAAGCTTCTCCTGCATCCCACAATCCACAATGTCAAAGTGTCAATGGTGGTGTTGGAGCTGGCCCCGAGGGGGCTGAAAAGAGGCTGGAATCTTATGAATCTGCAAAGAAGAGGTATGTATGTTGCGTTTATAAACATCAGGGAGGCATGAGAGTAGAACATTTCCTAGTGAAACACCAATAATAGGAAATACTTGGTCCAATCCATTGTAAGGTTTGATGATCTATTGATAAAAATACTATAAAAAGTCTTTTACTTTATTTAATTAGACAAGATGTATATAGATAGTGAAAGTGTGACCCTGAATACTAAAAGTTCTTCATTACCACAGCTTTATAAATATATAATTTGCTAAACTTATAATTGTAGGAGTTGTTTTCTAATGCTTATTGATGTCATTTTATTTAAGATGTATTCTAATTATGTTCAAACATGTAAAATACTATCTATTTTTATAATATTTATTCTGTAACTTAAAAAAAATCAATTAGCATGTCCTCATCAATTGATTATTAAATATCTTTCTTAAAAGAATCCTTTTACATCCTAAAACATATGTTTTTATAATAAAAGATTTGCATATAATGTATACCTCGAAATTTCAACAAAATTTTAAGGTTTTAATTAAATATAAATTAATATATACATATTTTATTAACTATATATATATATATATATATATATATATATATATATTCAAAAGTAAGTAAGTATTGTTATATAGTAATCATAAAAAAAAAAAAAATCATGCTTATATTCAAAACCGTCTTAATTAAATAAGACCTAAATTTATATAAAATTAGAAACCGTTTTGAGTTGCATATATTGATTCTTTTTCAATTTTTATATATTTTTTATTAATATATAATAAAACTAAACTAGAAATTCGGTAATACTAATATTATTGCACCATTAAAAAATAAATATATAATCATGTGTATTATTATATTTATAATAAAAAATATAATATAAAAAAGAATATATCTACTTATATCATTAATTAATTTAGTATATAAATTTTTATATTCAATAAAAAATAAATTGATACTTGATTTTATTTAATCTTAAAAATTTATCTTTATAAAAGTATTATGAATATGTATGATTAAATGACATTATGTAACAATATATATTTACTAGTAAATTGAATAAAAATAAATTTAAAAAATACATGATATAGTAGATGATATAGGATATGGTCTATTAAATTTTTATTTTTAAATTTCTTTATTTATGTATTTAAGAAAATTATTAACCTAAATTTTTTTTAACTTGTTGCTCAATCTGTAAAAACAATATTCCATATAATTTATAATATTTCTATCAAGGGATATTTTGGATTCAATAAGATGTTAAAACTTACTTTTAGAGATTTTTTGTGGAATCAAATGTGAAAAGTTGTTAAGAAAGTATTTCTCTCATGCAACACGTGTTCTAGATCAAAGAATCATTGCATTGTCTATTTAGACTTCTTTAACTACTACCAAATGACATCAATAAGCATTAGAATGTCTTAAACTAATTTTTAGATGACGATTTTGCAATAAAGATATATAAATTTAAGCTTGGTCTATGGTAAAAGAAACCAGTTACTATTATTAGTTTCAGAGATTGGTCAATCTTCTACCTTACAAAAAATAACTTGAGTATGTGGCAAATATCATGTAACACATCTTTGACTTTCTTTGCCTTCAATCAATTTCAATTTTATCCCTCATGGAACTTGGAGCTAAAAGAGGAAGCAATGTCATGATTATACAATATAAAAAAGACTGTAGAAGCTTCCATAAGGTTTCAAAAGATTTTATTAGATTCTAAAATATTCTAAAAGATTTTTAATAATCTTAAAAAATCTATGATAGGTTTTGTAGATTTTAAGAATCTTCCAAAAGATATTATTATATGTAAGTATTGATGCTAAGAAGATCCTAAGTCTTGACAACAGAATCCTAGTAATAAGGTTCTAAAAGTCATCAAAGTTGTATCCAACTTATAAGATAAGTTTTTAGTATGTACGCCATAAAATAGAAAAAAACAAACTTATCAAGAATATAGTTTAACCTCTACCAATAAATTATTTATCTTTTAAGTATGTAAAATATGATGCCTCATAACTCTTGCACCTAAAAATTATTTGAATTTACAAATTTATAACTCAAATACACAAAATATCATCTTTAGAATTCTAATAATATGCTTTAAAGTATTATTTACTAATTCTAATATCTATTAAATAATATTTTTACATGTTTCTAATAAATAAAAATATAAAATAAAACTAAAATAATAAATAAATAAAATATAAAATTTCTACTACTAATAATAAATTTTGGATTCCATCAAAATAACCTTTTTTCATGTGCTTAATTTTAGTTTAAAATGATCTATTATAGAAATAGAATCATAAAAATAATATCTTCATCTATTGAATTTTCTACCATTATAAAATAAATGATTTATCAAATAATTGAATGTTATGTAAATAAAAGAAATATAATTATTGAATTGAATTTTTAATGTAAGTCCAATCCAAAATCTATTGGACTTTGAGCAATGCTGATTTATTTAAAAAAAAATTAGATTTTTATTGACTTTTGTGAGTTTGTAAAATATATTTGTTGTATATACTTTGTAGCTCTAAGATTTTAAAAAAAGTAATGACTATAATAAATTAAAGAAATGGTAGCTAAAATTGATTTTTTAAATTTAGAATATTTGAATTTGATTTTTATAATTTTTGTAATTACTTTTAAGATTTAGAATAGCTGAAATTATATTTTATAATTTCAATTTTTTCAAGATTTGTGAAAGATAAAAATTAGGATTTAATTTATTTTTATTTTATTTTTTTATTACGATAGATAATAAAATTACTTATTTTGGTATAGAAATTTAAAATATTGAAGAATGACCTATTGATACTTTATTTTTATTTTTATTTTTATTTTTTTCTATTAAGAACCACATAGATACTCTTTTATTTCAATTTTTGCTACTGTTTAGACCATGTACTAACTTAGACAAAGATCATCAAATCAATGTTCTTTAATATATAGATCTTAATATTGCTTATATTACAATATTGACTATTGATTTTTCAAATTTATTTGATATAACTATCAAGGACATGAATCAAAAGAAGCAGAACCTCAAAACACTCTTGTGTAACTCAAGAAGAATAAATATTCACTCCATTAGTAATATAGTATTATGACTAAAATGACTATTGCCAAAGACAAGAAGAGTATAGATTCTTGAAATTAGACTAAAAATAAGAAAGTCATTGAGAAGAGTGAAGAAAGCTTCACTATTACCTCTATATATATTATCTATCTAAGAGCTATGTGGCAATGTTGTGCAGGGCCTTCAATACATGTTCAATTTGCAAGACACATATTTTAACTTGCAAGACAAGTTTTCTATATGTGCTCCACATTGTTAGCTTACACAACAAGCTACCGATATGTGTGATATGTGGCTAACTTATTAGCCAAGTTTTAACCTATCAATCATTTTTTACATGTGTAAAGATGAAATTGCATCTATAAAGTTTTTAAGTAGCTTCTTTAGTAGATATTATAAAATTAATCTATTTTTAATTACTTCTATCTAATCATATTATCTAAATAATTATTAGAATAAATATATGCCTGTGACATTGTATCCCTTTCTATGGATAAGTTTTACAAGAAATAATAATTATATGTTGGTGAAGTCTAAGATATGATGAATTGTATTTGCTACATAGTTTGATTATTATTCATTTTGAAGATAGTTGATAGGCCCTCTCAGCCATCAATAATGTTCTATTCTAGGCTAAAAATATTACTATATTATTTAATTATTTTTGATGCCTTTATATCTTCTTTTTAAAAAATATTTTTTATTCAATCAAAGGTGGTTCCAATCTTTATTAATATCACTGAGCATCAAAAGACTCTTTCTAGGTTAATATACCAAACACATTATATTTTACCATTTATTTGAAGAAAAATATGTCATTCTTAAAGGTCTTCATTTCTATTATGTCGTCTTGAAGGTTATGACAATTATAATGTTTCATCTAGCAATTCAATAAACAATAGGTCTTGAATTAAATTTGCAAGTTGTTGATTTTCTATCCTCTTAATGCTACAAGTATACAAAAACTACAAACAAGGATAGAAGGTAAAATGTAATAAATTCCAAATTGCAATTCTCTTATAGCAAATATTTATTATTTTTATCTTCATTTGGATAGATGTCATCAATAAAAAAGCATCAACCTTTTTTGCTACATTTTTTAGATTCTTAGCTAACTTTCACGTATGTTAATTAATATCATATCCACCCTAATGATCAAGATATTTTAACTTATTTTAGTATTGCCTTGAATCTAAAACTTTATTGAATTCATATTCTTAATTATTATCCACTTCTATAGGAAGATATGATATTTTTTATCTTCTTGATATATTTATTGTCTTTTATGGTTTAAGAAGAGACACATAGAACACAAGATGGATATTCATTGATTTTGGTAGGTATAATTGATAAGCAACTAGATTGATTTGTTTACAGATAGGAAAAGATCTAAGCCTATAATAATCCAACTTATCACAAAGATAAATAGT